CCGCCGCCGCCATTGCCACCGCCATTGCCACGGCCACGGCCACGCCACGCCACGCCACGCCACGCATGCACGCACGCGCACATGCACACATGCACACATGCACACATGCAGACCTAACTCAGGGTTGCCTGAATATACTAAGGCTTGAACCAAAAAAACAATAACGTTCGAATGTCGTGGAGCAAACTGCCCTGGAACAAAATAGAACGTGATCGCAATAGAATAGCTTTTCGCCACAAAAAAGGCAGGCACTCGTATGCATCATGCATCCGACGCAAGTGAGTTTCATGTCCGCGCTCGGCAACGAGACAAACCACAGTGCGGATCCACACAGAAAAGCCGATCTTGCCCCTCAAGCCAACCACAAGCAAATGGGAAGCAATGATCTACCAGCATTGGCTCCAGACCAAAAAAGGCGCACCTTCCGAAAGGTGCCAGCTCAGACCAACATATGTATATATATATATATATATCTGGGTTTGTCTGTTTTTGGTGTGTTGAGTTGCTTCAAAAGGCAGAAGGTGGGACCTCCCCGAATCATACCCCCGAATCATACCCCCGAATCATACCCCGAATCATACCCCCGAATCATACCCCTTAAAACGTATGCTGCAAGATGCTACTGTTCTTCTACCGTTTTGTGTTGTTCACTGTCTCCACAACAACCACCACCAGCGCTACCCAATACTACCACTGCCACTGCTACTACTACTACTACTACTACTACTACTACTACTACTACTACTACTACTACTACTACTACTACTACTACTACTACTACTACTACTACTACTACTACTACTACTACTACTACTACTACTATTCCTGCTTCTGCTGCTGCTGCTACTACTCACTACTACCACATACATCATTCTGAGTGTGTAATCAGTGCCGTTTTGCACCTAGCCAAATCATACCCGCGAATCATACCCGAATCATACCCGGACAATGAGCTTCCCCTGCCAAGGCTAGTGCTAAGTCTTTTTCACAGCGTCCGCACCACTACAGCCGCTGCTGCTTATGCTACAGCTGCTACCACTACTTCCGCAACTGCTACTACTACTACTACTACTACCACTACTACTACTACTACCACAGCTTCTAGGAGTTTGTAATCAGTGCCGTTTTGCACCTAGCCGAATCATACCCGCGAATCATACCCGAATCATACCCGCGCAATGAACTGGCCTTGCCAAGGCCAGCGCCAAGTCTTTTCAAAGCTTCCGCGCCACTACAGTCGCTGCTTCTACTGTTACTACTACTACTACTACTACTACTACTACTACTACTACTACTATTACTACTACTACTACTACTGTACTACTACTACTACTACTACTACTACTACTACTACTACTACTACTACTACTACTACTACTACTACTACTACTACTACTACTAAATACTACTAGCTGAACTGCTACTACTACTACTGCTGCTGCTGCTGCTGCTGCTGCTGCTTCCGCGAATCATACCCCCGAATCATACCCCGAATCATACCCGCGAATCATACCTGCGAACCATACCCCGTACTCAAACCTTCCTGCCCGGCCACCCTAAAAAATACAAACCCATATATATATATATAATATTTAATCATCACTCAGCACGACCAAATTCCTTCGCCAACCAAGTGGCAAACACAAAGACCCACACGCTCACGTGTTTATATACCTATATAAATATAGCCTATATGTATATACATATATATATATATACACATACATATGCATATGTATATATATATATATAAATATACAAATCTATAGAGCAAAGGCTTGGCCCACCCTCGCGATGTTTTCTCATCAGATGGCCAAACAGTTTCGTTTGGAGTGACGGTCTGCTATGGGATTGAGCCCCAAGCACCTCCCAATCCAAACCACCTGGGCTGCGGGAGGAGAGTTGCCTATTGAGAGGTCCCTTTGTGTCCAACGTCCCATCCAAAAAAGTAAACAAATAATAATCCACAGTGCAACAAATAGCGCATACTTGTCAGTTTCCGCCTATCAACCACTGGGGATGGGCAACGATCTTCGACTTTTTGGAATCCCCTTGTTGCAAAAGGAAAAAACAACAAAAAACGGCGCGCTGGACCTTCCTCCAGCCCAGGGCCCCTTCGCCCTGCGCGCACAAGAGCCGCTGGTGGTGCAAACCGTGCCCCTTCACCTCCATAGTGCCTCGGCTCAGGCGTCCTTTTTTGCTTTGCGCCCTGCCAGCGGCCAGCCCTAAGTTCATTTGCTCCCCCCTCCCATGACTGGGAAAGCCGTTTTTGCAGATCTACGAAGGCTTAAGGGTACAGGTTTCTTGCAAAGGGTGCGATCGAAACGAACCAGCGGCTGGATGAGCGGGTCAGCGTAGCAGAGATGGAGTCTGTTAAAAACTAAACTCGACAGTTTGTTTGTGGGGGGTCAAAAGCTGAGGCCCTTACAAAAGGTGACTGACCGCTGTTCGAACTTGATTTCCGGGTCCTGTTGGGCAAGCGCGGCAAAAGGAAACTGCCATGTAAGTCGCTAGACAATCGTCGAGTTGGGCCAGTGGGGGAAATCGGCATGAAGAGATACGTACCAGCTTCCGTGACACCAAGAGTAGTCATGGGGATGGCCCATTCTGGTGGAAGGCATATGGGTGTGACGTTTTTGAGTTGGTACCCTTCTTTTCGCGGTTGGAAACCAAAAGCAGAACCGAAGTTGGGCGTCCCCGAAAAAGGACGGCCGTTCCCGAGTTTCTGGACATTTCTGGGCCGCATTCTTTCCAATGGCCGTCTAGCTGTCATCCAAGCCAAGTGGGGGAAGCGAAGGTTCCCGTGGCCCCCCCTGTAGTCATCCCCCGTCGACCAAAAACAGCGATGCACAGGCGGCCAAGAAGTTGTCCCAATACGCGTTCACCTGGAGGCATGGGTGGCCACAAAAGGAGGGAAAACTAGGGGGTCTAGCCACCATAGTAAACAGTTACTCCTCTAGAGATCAGCCCAAAAGGATTCGTTTCCGTTCCTAAAATTGGGTGGGCTTGGGTTTCATGTTCTTCTGGGTGGATCTCCGCGCCCGCTCGCCCCACGCCCCGCCGCTGCCACGTGCCAACCTGCCAAAGGGGCACACACGTGGCATCTGCAGTCTTGCGGCGCACAGCCATTCCCTTGAACAAGCAAATCCACACATTTGTCAAATCAGGACGAGAACGGGAGTCTCCCCAATTTTTGTCTGGGCCGATCCAACTTCCTGCAAGAAGTGAACTCTTGTCCCGGTCGGAAGGACAAAGGGTGCAACGCCAACAAGGCAAACAAGGACAAGGAAGCAGTGCCCCCCCCCCACCCCCCCCACCCCCTCTCCGCAAGGCTTCGGCGCTGCGCCTCCCTCTCCACCCGCACCCGCGCGGGTGGCGCTGCGCGCGGTCCGCGGCGCCCGCGGAGCCGCGGAGCAGGTGGCGGCGAAGCCGGCGCCGGCGCCGGCGTGGCGCGGGGCTTCCAACGGGTCTGCGCCGGAGAAGCCCTGCCGCTGCGATGGACATGTAACACTGGCTTCGACGCGTCACGGTAGTTGAAATGGGTCTTTGGCATCTCAACATAGTTGAGATAAGCATGGTTCTAAGATCCCAGGAGTAATTTTTAATGTTTGGACCCTTTCCGCCAGAACGCAGATGCCATCCCCACAAAACATTACACCCAAAGACCTAGGCGACAGGTGGGCTCAACGCCTTACCCACATGGAACCCACCAGATCGCTGAGGAAAGCGGTCCAGATCCAATCGACGACGGTGAAGCAGTTGAAGGGCACTCGTTTTGGGGCCTGCCTAGTCACCAGGGCACCCGCCCGAGAGGATGAATCGAGATTTTCCAGTAGTACCCTTTTACTTTCTTTCTTTTTTTGGGAGGGTTCCCCTAGAAAAAAAGGGTACCCTTATTCCAGCCTCTCTACTAGAAGACCGAGGAATCAAACTCTGGCCTTTGTTGATACCCTATTCGACGATCTTATTTTGGCCTACGATGCGCGCATTGTGTCGATTGCTTTCAGGCGTTATCCAACAAATGGGGCTTGATAGAGGTTTGGTGGACCCTGCTCTTTCTGACGCAACAGTCAACTGGAAGTCTATAATTGGGCAAAATTGGCTTCACCAATCAGACCCTTGTCCTGTTCAAGGGGAACCAACAGGAGGTTGCTCAAACATGTCCGCACGCAGGGCGCCTTGTTTGGAGGGTGGTTGCCAAGCTAATCTGGAAAGGGACAAAAGGACCACGCTGGGCCATCCGAGGTTGGTACCAAGAGGCCCCGGGAGGGGTGGGGGAGGGGGTGGGGGGCATTTGAAGCATTGAACCATGCTGCGAGTCCTACGTTGCCAGAGGTGGGTTCAATGGCCTTGGTTTCATTGAAATGGCGGTGGCGTTCGCTGCAGAGAGGCTTGGCTTGCCAGACCCTGGCCCCCTCGAAAAAGAAAAGGATCACGTTGTTTTTTTGCCCCTAGTTGACTTCCATTTGGCCAAACATTTTTTTTTTTTTTTTTAAAAAAAAAAAAAAAACATTTTTTCCCCTGTTGATTTTAAAGGGAATCTATCACTACTGGAAATGTTTTTATTCTTTTCCAGGGGACGAAAACGCAAATGGCGGTTGAAAGAAGGGAAGTGTTGAACCAAAAGGTGGCGGGAACAAAAGTTGGTTCTTCCGTCGCTTCGCCAGGAAGCGACGCGGGGCACGGGGATGACTTGGAGTTTCGGGCCGCCGCTACGTCTGAGGATGCGCCTGGCAGGCGAAGCGGCATCAAAAAACGGGGAGCCCGTTGAGGGCCCCTGGGATACATGCTTGAAATTAGGCCTGGAGAATGGGTTGGTTTCAACTTTGGCTTGGGTTGTTTTTCTTCAAACTGCTTGGAAGTCACTTAGGTGGTAAAATAATATGGCCAGTGAAAGGATAGCTAAGGCCGGCGAACAAATCAAGCTACCAGCTGATTTGGGGATCTATATAAAGCAAGTGGTTTGTGGAGGTATCCTTGTACCGACAACCCAGCTGAGAGAGTCCGCGCCCAAAGTGCGCGCCCAAAGCCAAACCGAGCTCAGTGTTTGGATAGCTCTTGGACTTGGACGGTGTATTTGGCATGAGAATCAGTCCTTGGAGCCCTCATTACCAGCTGGAGAACTGCGCACTGCTGGGTTTTTTGTCACCCGACTACTGTGTAGAGGCAAACTGCTCCATTTTCCGTCTCAGCAAAGACAAGAGTTGGATGAGCATGAATAATTCAATTCCAGAATTGTGTGGTGGGACTATTATTTGGAAAACAGGCCAAAGGCAATAGGGAAAAGAGCAGGTTCGAGTCGGCTGGTGGATATTTGGGTGTGGGTCAAACTTAAACCACCAGGAACTAGACCTCAGGTTTTGGTTCATGTTCCCATTTTCCAGGGGTCATCCATTGAATCCTACCTACGTCCTCCTTCCGTCGCCTGGTCGGTCCCATAGATCGGCCGAGTCTGCAGATCGGCCGATCCTTCTGCGGGCCTCCTGGGAAGTCTCGGAGGGGAAGTGCAGAACGATGGGAGTCTCCAAATATGAACAGGGCTCCTTAAAAGATACATGTTGCCCAATTGCAACATGGCTTTTGGCACCAAAATAAGGGGAAACCACCATTTACAAGGTAATGTTCAGGTGTATAATCTAAGGATCCCTGATGAACTCGAATCCCAGCAAGAAGCTTCGCTGAAGGCCGAAACCCCAAGTAGTGTTCACGTATGCATTTATTGCAGGCCAAATAGAAGCCGCCCAAAAAGGCCCCTGTAATGTGGGAGCAATGGTCCTAAGCCCATGTGAAATCTGCAACTCGGGAATTTGAATGTGGCAAGCTCAGAACCCCCAACAATCAACCCCACCTGTTTCCCTTTCAAGCGTTTCCCTTTCAAGCAAGCAAGCCCACTTTTCCCGGGGTCTCTATGTCTGGCTGGGTGGGGCAAAATATGGTTTAAACACCACCTTTACAAGAAACTCATCATAACCAGTGGTTTAAACTAAACCAATGGGTGGCCCCACCTTTTTCCACCAAAATAAAGTTGGAAACCACCATTTACAAGTTGCAATGTTCAGGTATTGTCATGTAAGGATCCCTGTTTTCCCTGAGTCTCTATGTCTGGAGGCTTCGGCGCGCTTGGCCTGGAGGTGGCCAACACAGGGCGCAAGAGCGGCGCGCGAGTGGAGGTGGCGCTGGCGGGGTCCGCCGCCTCGGACTTCGGAGAGCTGGTGCCCAAAAAAAAGCGTATGTATGAGTCGGGGAGTTGGTGCTTCAAATGGTGGAGAGTTGGTGCTTCGAATGAGTCGGGGAAAAACACAACACAAGTTGTATGTGTCAATGTAAGGCATGATCCCTGATGTTTTGGACCTATCCTATTAGCTGTGAGGTTTCGGGGGCCCGGTGTGTTTCCCTGGCTTGTGGCAACCATGAAAGGTGAGTGTTTTTTTTTTTTTTTGTGGAGGTGATGTTTTAAGGGGAATGGCTGTGGTGGTCAAAAATAGGGTGAAGCATGGACCGAAACCTGCGGTCCAATTCCCGGTGGCAATTTTTGACCCATACCCAAACGTGTGAGCCGATATAGCCATGGGTTGCGATCGCTTTTTTCAGTCACTGGCGATCCAGGAGGTGTGGGGGCCCAGTGTGTTGCCCTGGCTTCAGCTTCATATGTTTGCTGGCGCAATTTGCGAGCTTTCTTGAGGCTGCTGAAGCGGGAAGGGCTCTGGGGTTGCAGCTTGGGTGGATCTTTCGTCTTGACTGCTATTGGGTAACGGATCTTTAGACTTCAACTTTGTGGTTGAAATCAAGGCGTTTTCCCCTGAACCCCCCAAAGAAGTGAAACTCGCTTTTTGCAGGGGGGTCAACCGAGGCAACCAAGGTAGTCTTTCGCTGCTCGGATTTTCCCCCCCACCAAAGCAGCCACCTAGATAGCCAAGTTGCGATCGCTTGTTTCAGCCACAGTTGCTGGTTTTTGGAGACAAGTTCACGTAAAAAAAAAAAGGCAACTGGCGATCCAGCCGGTCAGATCCGAGGCACGCCTTGCCGAGCATCGCTCCGGGGGAGACCTGCCACCTGGTCTTGGCCTTCCGAGCCTTTGGCGAAGCATGGCCGTGGTCAAAACCGTTTTGGGATCCCATTTGGTTGGTGGGTAAATTCACCACCCCAAAAACCCATGGTAGCATTTGGGGAAACCACCCAAAAACCCATGGTAGCATTTTGGTTGGTAGGTGAATTCACCACCCATTTTGGAACCTATTTGAGTGGTTGGATTGAATCGGATGTTCACCGGGGGGTACGACTTGGGTCTTGACCCATGGCGAAACATCCGCAGATCGGAGCACAAAGGGCCGGGCCGGGTGAGGCTTGTCCAGCTGCATTGAAAGGGTTTCCCTAGGGCCCAAAGGTATGCTTTTTAGGTTGGTCTGGGTAGTTATACCTGGGGCCCCCAGATTTCGCTTTAACAGTGGAACCCAAGTTGCGATCGCGTTTTTCAGTCGCTGTTGCTGGTTTTTGGATGGCAACTGGGCCTGCAGATTTCGTTTTAAGAGTGGAACATTCAGCTTCTACCCAAACCAACCTAGAAAAAAATCAGGTTGGTCTGGGTAGAAGTAGCTGAAGGGCTTGCTGGAGGTAGTCATGATGTCAACTCGTCACTTGGCGGTGCCCATCGTCCGGTTCCTCGGTTTACTATTTATTTATTTATTTATATATAATATATATATATATATATATAGACATACACACATACATATATATATATATATATGGTTGGGTTTCCGTATTTACCCCACCAGTCAAACTTGTAGCAGGGGACTAGGCCCAGGTCCCAGGACCCCCCCCCCCCCCAGCCCCGAAATTCTCATTCAAAGCGAATTTTGAGCGCGGTGCCCGCAAGAAGTTGAGAATTACCCTCCCTCCCACCTTGCCATGGCACCTGACAGGGGGCACAGTACCTCCCCACAGGTGCCATGTTTGTTGGAGGGAGGGTAAGAGTCTCAGCTGGCAGGTTTCTTCCAAGGCCGAAAAAGGTGTCGTCACTGCGGCTGGAGTGTCAACTTAGTGGCTTCCATCTGGCATGACCAGTGAAGTCTTCAATAAGTCTTCAGAAGAGTTTTCGGGGTTCCACGTTTTTCGGATTCACAAACAGGGGTCAAACTCGTTCTTTTTTATTTATTTATCTTCTTCTGTTTTTCTTCTTTTTTCCGGTTTGGGGGGGGGAGGACACGCCTGGTATTTGCGGTTGGCCTAGCCTCACCAGATTCGCCTTCGCTCAGGAGATGCTGAGGACGTGGGCAAGCTCCCAGTCCGATTTTCTTCTCGGGGGGTGGCACCCGCCTGGTTCTCCCCAATTGTTTTTGGTGTCCGCGCTACCAGGGCTCCTTAAAAGATACATTTTGCAACCATGTGAAACATGTTGCTTTTTCCACCAAAATAAAGGGAAACCACCATTTGCAAGGCAATGTTGAGGTGTATAATGTAAGGAACCCTGACTAAAAATGGTCCAGACCAAGGGTTCCAGTGTTTCTTGCACGTGTCTTTGGGCAACTGGATTAAGCAGAACTCCTGGGCGAGGTTCAATGGAGTTTCTCTTAAAGCGTTTTGCTTTCAGAAATTGTTGCGGGTTAGCATGCAACATCTCCCCCCCCACAAAAAGCAATCACTATAGACACTGTAGAATGTGTGTGTGTGTGTGTGTGAGTGTGTGTGTGTGAGTGTGTGTGTGTGTGTGTGTGTGTGTGTGTGTGTGTGTGTGTGTGTGTGTGTGTGTGTGTGTGTGTGTGTGTGTGTGTGTGTGTGTGTGTGTGTGTGTGTGTGTGTGTGTGTGTGTGTGTGTGTGTGTGTGTGTGTGTGTGTGTGTGTGTTTGTGTGTGTGTGTGTGTGTGTGTGTGTGTGTGTGTGTGTGTGTGTGTGTGTGTGTGTGTGTGTGTGTGTTTTTGGGGACCCCTTTTGTGGTGTTTCATTCAAGCGGAAGCCAATAGGACATTCTCCAGTTTCTCTTGGGCGGGGTGGGGGGCGGATGGGGGGGTGGGGGAAAGAAGCCAAACCGCCCTGCACTCCCGGTGAGTCCATCCATGTTTTTTGTTTCTCTTTCTTTTTTTGCGGGGGCTTGCTACAAAACAGCACACACACACACACCCATATTCTCCAGTTTTTTTCAAGGGGGGGGTTGGTGGTTTGGGGACGTAGAGGGTGAATGGGAACCCCCTTAACCACCAACCCACCAATTAGAGGGAAGCTGATCTCAAGGGGTTGAGCCATTTGTGCTGGCCAACAGACACCTCTTAGGCTCAGTTGCCCAAAGCGAATCGACCTGATCTGACCTTTTGGTTTCTCCTTTTTGGTCTAGTTTCAGGTAAGGCAGCCTTGTAGAAGAACCCACCTCCCGCCCTCCGGAAAATCCGAGATCCGCGGGATTTCTTGCCAGGACTTAGAGCTGGGTGCGGCGAGCCTGGAGCTGCTGGACCTGCGCAGCCAGGTTCAGGCGGTCCGTTTCGGCGTTTCGGCCGAGTGTAAAGCGCGGTGCGCTTTTCGGTAAAACCGATCTTTGTTTTCGGTCCTGGGTTCATGGACCGTATTCTTTGTGGGGAAAGGCCGTGCTAGTGGGAACCAGGCAGATGGAGAACGGTGTTTTGCCAAATCACTCAGGAAGGGAGTTTTGGAAAGACGTATTTTCACGGCGAAGAAAATTGGACTTCCTTTTTGTTGGCCCATCAACTCAAGTGAGGTGTCCATTTGACTGGTTTAGATGGGCTTGTATGAATTTCCCATTGCCAGGGTAACCCATCTATTTTTCCAGTTTTTTAGGTCAAGAAATTATGGAGTTGCGGTTGTTCTTCCAATGCAACCACCCATGATAGAGTCGAACGTAGCAGTTCTGCAAATTCACTTGTGTGTGTGTGTGTGTTTGTTTGGAGGGTACCCTTTTTGGGGGTCTGGTTAAAGGGAGAGTGCTTCTTTTGTTTGTTGCGTCCAATTGCTTGAGATGTTTCTTTGTTTTTCCCTGTTGATTTCACGGAGAATCTATCACTGCTGGAAACATGTCGTATTTGGAGGGTTCCCCCCTTCTTTAGATAAACTGCCGCACACGCCCCCGAGAAAAAACAATTCCGGGAGTTCTTCCACACGGTTTCTCCGCGCAGGTCTTCGCGCACCATTGCCCCAAGAAGGTGGAGGGGCCGCCCTTGGAGGCAGGATCTTGGAGCTTTGCGCTTTAAGCGGCCTGGCTTTGGGCCAACCAAAGAGTTGGCGCCACCAAACCACAAGGCTAAAGAATTCGGTATGGCTATTTGGTTGGATCTTTGGATTTTGTTTGTATTCTTTTGGTTGAAGCAGAGGGTTTTCCATTGGACCCGCAAAAAGTTAAACTTTTTGCAGAGGGGTCAGCCGCAACCAAACAAATTGTTTTTTTGTCTTGCTTTTGCGGCCCAGTTTCTACCTTGTGACGCCTGGCAGCACCCCTCAACATTGTTTCGCACGGGCACACAGTCCAATCCCGCGGAGCCATTGGCGGGAGTAGCCGGGTCATTTGAGAGGGCAGCTTCGGGGCGGGTTTCTCTACTGCTATTGGCTTGGATCTTTAGACTTTAGCTTTTTGGATTCCCCTCATATTTCCTTTTAACCAAGAAAAAGTTTAACTTTTTGCTGGGGGATCTACAGCACCCAAGCTTTAGGCACACCACACAGAGGTAATTACCCACCCGGAGCCAAGGGTAGCCTTCTCTCGGCGATGGCTTTGCAGGTGCTTGGCCTGGCGGGCCTGACGCCTTTGTGCCGGGAAGGCCAGCGACTCGTCCAAGCGCACCACGGAAAGCTTGCAAGATGTGTGTGTGTGTGTGTCTCAGTTGCCCAAAGCGAATCGACCTTTTGACCTTTTGGTTTTCCAGTTTTGGTCCATTTTTAGTCATGGCCCCAAAAGGTTAACCTTTTATTTCTGGGTCCTTTGAGCAACTGGGGTGTGCGCGCCCTTAGGACGCCCTTTTCGTTTGGCTGCTCCTGGAAGCCAACAGGGGGGGCGAGAATTGTTGCGGTTTCAAGAAGACAGTGGAGAGCCCGAAGAAACCACAGGCCAACAAACTTGGACGCCTGCATTCCAAGCTGACATGGGCTCTATGTGCGCATCCCCACCCCCTCAAAAATGGAATTGGGGGAGGGGGGCGACCCCTGGAATTCCATTTGTGGTTCCATTTTCCCTTTTTTGGGGAAGACTAGATCAATGGAATTGGGGGACCCCCCACCCCCCTGCCCCTTAAGGTACGGGGGATATGTGCGCAGTGAACAAAGCAAACCAACAAACGAACCAACACAAAACAGGCCAGCAACAAGCAAGCAAGGAAATTGAAGCAAAGCAACCAAACCAAGCAAACACAAAGAAACACACACACACATATATATATATATATATAGATATGTATACATATAACAGCCGAACCACCAGACACTTAAAGACTTACCACTGCAAACAGAAGCGCCTGCCGGACAAAAATCGTCCGGCGCGCTTCCGAGGCAAGTCTGGGTGGGCTGGTCTGGCTGCTCAGCGTCCGGCCACGACTGGCGCCTGGGCCGCGTCGCCGAGGCCTTTGAAAAGAAGACCCCGACGACTGCGAGCGCGCAGTTAGAGCCCTGAAGTTGGATCTTTGGATCTTGGGCAGGGGATGTTTGTTTGCATTGGACCCTTCTTGGTTGAAACCGAGGGTTTTCCATTGGACCCACAAACAAGCTTTGGTTGAAGCACCGGATTTTCTTTCGGACTCACCAAGAAAGTGAACTATTTTGTTTTTTTGCAGAGGGTCAACAGCAAGCGAGTGAAAACAAGCATGCGAGGGGATCTCAATATCTTTTTTGTCCATTTAACGGAATTAGTTGATTGAAGCCGCGGTTTCCTTCACCGGTATTGAAAGGAAGGATCAAAATACGGCGGCATGCGCCAATTGGCCGACATTTGTCCAGAGAGCCGTTGCAGCCTGGATGTTTCTCAAACTGGAGGAAAGCCCTTTGGTCGGATTTTTCAGCCTTTGAACCATTTCAGGGGGCCGATTCCTACTTGGGTGGAGGGTAATTGCCACCCATTTGTAAGTTGGTTTTAAAAGGAGCGCCGACAGGACACCAATCATTTGTGTTGTACTTTTTGGGGAGGGGAGGTTCGGGAAAATGTTGACTGGCAATCCATTTCTTGGTATTGTTCCATGTGTTTACTGTTGTTCACCCTACGCAAACCATGAGGGAATAGCTACCTGCATTTTGGCCAGACAAAAAAAACAACAACAACCACCCTATGCCCATGGCTTTGCAGGTGCTGAGCTCCTCCAAAGCTTGGGTGCAGCTGCCCGAGGAAAGGCGTGTCCGAGTCCTTGCCGGTCGAGAGTCGGGCGAGAACAGGAGGACCCTCCATCTCCATGAGTGGCACCCGAGGGCTCCCAAATGCGAGTGCCTAGATAGCCAAGTCACTAAGTGGCGATCGCTTTGTTCAGTCACTGTTGCTGGTTTTTGGATGGTAAAGTGGATGGAAAAAAGCGATCGCAACTGGTGATCCAGGTGGTTGTCAAGGATTTCACCAGAAGGAAAGCCCGCCATCTTGGCGGCCCTCCTATATCAAGACACGGCCCATGTGCTGTGAATCAGAATTGCAGCTATGTTGAGGCAGTTCTATCACATGAAATCTCATTCACTTCCCGGAAATGGGCCGCCAATTCTGGCGCAGCTGACGGCAGTTGCCTTAGCTCCAAAAACACTCGGGAATGGCTGGGAGCTCAGATCAATCGGGGCAGCTCCAGTTGGTGAACTGTGGTATGCCTGTCGCTTGAGTGGTTCCTCAACCTTTATTCAACTGTTCGGCAGCTCCCGGCAAGCTTCCGTGGGGGAAGATCCTTTGCGGATGATTCTGAGTCAATGAGGGGTAGTGGCTTGGGGGGAGTGGAACGTTCCTTGATTTCAGGGCTGCAGGCGTGAGGCAACGGTCCGGTTCGCATCCATGGGGGCCGCGAGCGTTTCGCAAAAGCTGCTTCAGCAACCACCTGGCCCCCTTAGCAAAACCCAAAGGGCTGGGTCTTTTTGGAGGGAGCCATCATATCGCTGGGTTCTTCTTGGTGTCCCCTCAAAAAACCTACCCCAAAGGGGGTGCCCTCAAACAAAAAGACACGCCCAAAAGCGTTGCCGCCAAAAAAAACACAAAAAGACACGCCCAAAAGGGTTGCTTCAAGGGTCCAGAGGCTCTTGGTGCCTGCGTGGCAGCTGCTGCCCGCGGACAACCGCAGCGAGCTCGATGACCTCGACAGCACCGTGCAGCGCTGCCCCGCCTTTGCGCAGTCGAAAGTCGAAAGCGCGCGGGGGGGGTCCCGAGGGGGGGGGAAAGCAACACGGGGGGGGGGGGAAGGGGGGGGGGAACGGGGGGGAAGATGCGCGGGTTTTAGGCTAGTTTGGTTTGAAAATGGATGGGCTCCACTCGTCCATAGGTGTCCTCTTCAGGTTAGTTTGGTTTAAAGATAGATGGGTTCCACTGGTTTAGACTTTGTTATCCTTGGCTGGTGTTTTGGACTGGTTTGGGGATTTGAACCTCACCTTTGAAGCCAAATCAGGTTTTGGCCCCCCCTAAACTCTTTCCGAGTTGCTTTTCCCACTTCACTCTTTGGGCTCAAGGTGCGGGGGTCCTATGTAGGTTGCCATGTTCTGTGATACCCTTGGCGAATCCACCTAGTGACCAAGCAGTCAAATTGCCCACTTTGATATCCCAGGGTTAGTTCCCACAGCGCAGTGGGTGCTTCAGGGTTTCAGATGTGGAAAGGGAATACAAGTGCTGTCAAAGCACACCCCACAGTAGGCATACAGGCGGTGTTGCACAATTTGAGAACTTAGATTATGATGATGATGCACAACAAGGTTTGGTTAATTTTGGAAGATTTGCCCGAACAGCGCGTTTCTCCCAACAGGTTGATCAAGCAAGTTTCTTTGCAGGGGATGACCGGTTGGGTAAACCACCAACATGAATGATTTCCCCGCTAAAGTGAAACGTATCCAGTCATGTTGTGGCGGGGTATGATCACCCCATTCACTTTTTCTTCCAGGTTATTTCATAGAATCATTGTAGAAATTGCAGGTGTAAATGACCCGGGGATGTCCTTCCCAGTCACCGGACCTCGCTGGCCGTTTTTGGCTGCAAGCCCAATTTTTGGTGCGACACCAGCCCTTCCGACGTCCTCTCCGCCCCCCAGACTCTCGCCAGCAGAAAGCGCTTGGGTGGGTCACAACGCTATCCTCTGGTAAATCCAGCCATCACTCCCGTGAAGATTATTAACATGAAAGCCAAACAACCATCATGTTCAGAGGAGTTTTCTTTTGGAGAACCTCCCTTTTCGGGCTTTTTGGGTTATCTGTGGAAGCAAGGAATACCCCTAAACGTGGCTGGCTTTCTTTTTGGCCCTTTTGAGAACCTGGCAAGGGGTTCTCAACTCAAATGTCGGGAAGCACGCTCAGTTCACTCCCTGAGTTCCTGCGCTTTTTACTGTGGGTTTCGGCCATCGTAGTGGCTTGCATAAAAACTTCAAACTGGGCCTTTCGCTTGTCAGGAGGTCAGACAGGCGGCCATTTCTCTCATCATGTCATGGGAACCCCACGAAGAGTCTGAGCAGCGAGGGTTGGTTCTTAAAATCCTGCCGGCTTCAATTCAAGTCCCCAGCCCCCTGCTAGTCTCTTGACGACGCCTGGGTCTCAAAATGCGGGAACCGAAGTGTTCCCGTTGGTTTCCTTTGAAACATGCCCGAAAAGGGAACAAACAACAACTCAAACAGGGCTTTGGCAACCGTCGGCCATACCAAGGGAATCCGATGTGAAGCGATCAGTCATGGATGGCCTATTTGTTGTTGATAGCCAGATTGCTTTTTCCGTGTCGAATGCCGTTCAAAGGGGACAAGAGCCACAAGGGGAGCCACCAAACTAGCTGTGGGTCAAAAATAGGTACCCAAAATTTAACTCTGGGAAACCACCATGTACAAGTTGCCATGTTCAGGTGTTGTCATGTAAGGATCCCTGTTCCGTTTGCTGAAATGAATGTGGTGTTTATGTTGCCTTGTTGGCTTTAAAGGGAACCTATGGGGAAAGGGTATGACTGAACCAAGTGGAAGCCTCGTGGTTTCTGGTGCGTGCAGTTGCAGTCAGCGCGGCATTGGCTTATCCAAGGCTTTCCCTTCTAGCTATGGGCGGCCTGCTCAGAGTGAGGGACGGGGGGTCGAGAGAGGCGAAGCGCCAGGCTGCACTGCTGTGCCGTGTGTGCATGCTTGCGCGCCGCCCTTTCTCCCATTTGTGCACATCATTTCGACCCGATTCTATCATACTGGGGTGTATTCCTGAGTTTGGTGGGGAATCAGACCACTTTTGGAGGGGCTTTTTGGCCCCCTATGAATAAACTGAAGTGGATGAATATGGGGTCAACCTTTGCAGAACGAGGCTTCTTTGTAACTTCGGGGGCCCCTCTTCGCTCTTCGCCACCACGAAAGCGCCCCGCAAAAGCCCCGGCGCTGCTGCTCGCAGCGTTTCTTGCGGCCTGCGTCTTTGCTTCTGGCGCATGAGTCGTTGTATTGCCCCTTCTTGGGTTGTTTAACTTCACTGTTCTTGGCATGTTCTTTTTTGATTCTATTCTTTTTTACTGGGGGTCTGCAAAAAACAAAGTTTTTTGCTACTATACCAAGAGTAGAGATGTTAAGCGTCAGCTTTTGGAAGTGGCAATGTGGGGTGGGGGAGAAAAAAAAACGTTTCAAGCCGACATGGCCGGACTTTGGACACTTGAGCAGAAGAACGCGTGGCACCACGCCCCTTAAAGAAGCTCTGTGACCCATGCGAGCCTATGGGTTTACCAAAGGGTATACATACATGTGCGTATATAATATATAGACATAGATATGTAGATTCATAGGAAGAGACATTTTTGTTTCTTATACCTATAGGTTTCTGTATAAACAAATAGATACAGAAAACTAAATGTATAAATACCTTTGTGCGCATTATACACATTGGGGCACGTGCCCCAGGGCGCGTTCTAGTTTTGCTTGATGGGTGGCGGGCTCTCGCTTGAACGTCAGCTGAAACTAGGGTTCTGCTCGGAACCTCTCTGCAGACCACCCTCCCCAAACGCACAATCGAAAAGAAACAGATCTTGCGACAATGGTTTGAAATCTAAGCATCTAATGAGCAATGGGTCAAAACTGAAAGGGTCCTTTTGTTGAAGGAGCGCTGCCAATGAGCCGTTGTCATTTGGAGAGTTCCCTGACGTTGGACACTCCCAAGTGCCTTGGTTGCTCTTATTCCAGGAAAGGTTTCACAGTTAGCACCAACCTACTGTGGTGGACGAAATCCTGCGCCACCTAAGAAGCCCTGGAATGATGACGCCCCTATTAGATACCAACAAACAACCAACCAAACACTGGGGTTGGCCCCGGGTCCGCCCTCTGCTCTTTTTTTCCGTTTCATCTAGGTTTCTCCGCTGAAGCCCGTCAGTATTCAGAGGATCCGGTCACCCTGGCAGGAGTCCAAATACTAAAAGAGATTTGTGTTACAACAAGTTGGTCGACATTCCAGGGAACAAAGCGGTTGAACCCACCGCCGCATCTGAAGTGCTTCCTGGACCCTTCGCCCGCCATTTGATCCATTTGCCTTCCATGCGGTCTGAGGCCTTTCGTGTCCCTCCCACCACTCTTAGTTTCTTAGCATTGCTGTTTTGCAGGATCTCCTTGCCTATCTCCCAACCCCGAAAAAGTGGCTACCGGTAGCCCAGGCCCAGTCATGGCGCTGGAAATTCTGGCATGCGTTTTGGTTTGTTTTGTGTTTGTGTCGTTAGGGGGCTGCAAAGAACAGCCCGTTTTGAAGGGTTGCCGGATGCGAAGCCGGGGCCGCGATTTCCGGGGGGGGGGGGGAAGGGAATTCGCCGAGGCTTCAACCGCGGGAACACCGTCCTCGCACTGGGACCTGAGAAGTGTCCTGCGTTTGTCTGCTTTTTTGGGGGTGGGTGGGTGGTTGGGTGGGTGGCAAGAAGAAAAGTTTCGTTTTTACCGTTGAACGCATGCAAACAAAGAGTTTCCGATCGCTCGCCCTGGACAATAAAGTGCATCCGAAAGGAATGCATAGACAAGCGTGTGTCTCCTTGTGAGTTTTGTTGACAATAGATGTCCTTTCTGCGCCTTCGGATCAGGCGTGTTTTTGGATCCAACCTGAAGCCTCTCGTTGACCTTCTTGACCCCGGCTTCGGGGTCAACGCCTTTGCGTCCTTTTGGCGTGGACAACAGACGGTACACCCCCTGGTTTGCCTGATGCTTTATTCATCTACCAGCGCCTTTTCTTTTTCGAAGCCAACTAAACCGGGCTGCGAGTCACTTGGTCCTCAGACTTCCCCCAGGAGATCGATCAGTCACCCCGCTCGGTCTTGGGTCTTCGGCGGTGCATTTGGCAGGGTGTCTTCTTGCCATTTCCCTTTTTGTAACCTCCAACAGTGGCGATCGTTTCAATGAAAGCCGGCAGGTTGAAGCTTTTCAAGGGAAATCCAGTGACCCCTGTTTGGGGGCGGACAAATGGAGCAGAGTCTGAACATATCTTCTGTGTGACCATGGCCCCAACTACTCGTGGAGCTTTGCCTGCACCCAAGCTCGCTCGCAGCCGCAAGGTACCGTCCAACGAAGACGCACTTCTGGAAGGGCACGGAGGCGCTGTAACCAATGCGTTCCACCGTTCCGCCTTCCCAGTTTTGCTTTGGGGTCTTTTTTGTGGGCTTCCCATGAACCCCCCACCTGCTTTCAAGCTATTCAGACGCTTTTGGGCAGTGCAAGGTTCCTTTTGATACGGTGACCATGTCAAAGAGGAAATGGTCACGTCATGTTCGGTAATTTCCGGATCTCAAATCGGGGTTCACAAGTCGTCACACCCCATTTTGAGATGAGGTTCAAGCGGTCCGATCCGAATCCGGGGGCGGAACGAAACCCTTGCAGGTCCCCCAGTGGCTGCCCTTTTACCCTTTCTATTTTGGGAGGGCTCCCCTACTAAAATAGACTAGAGAAAAAATCCGGTACCCTTATTCTAACCTAAGAACCTGCAACAAGTTTGTTCAGCACTGATTCGCCGGCTGGGAGCTTTGAAGGTAAAAATAACTTGCACGTCTGCTTGCGGGCGGGGGGGGGGGGGATAAGGAGGGCTACGCTGTCCCAAGTTTCTGGACTTCTTGCCGGCGTCAATAACGACCCCGGGGTTTGTTTCACAGTTTTCCTTGGGGGGGTGAGGTGGGGTTGGTGGAGGGTTGAAACTCCTCACTCTCAACGCCGGCAACGCCGACTTGACTTGAGTGGCCTCTCAGTTAGGAGAAACTGTTGGGCCAACCCATGGCTCGGACAAGAATAGTGTCAGGTAATCCCTTGGTGGTTTTCTTGGTAGCTCCCAGCCATCCGGTTCCTAGCAACCCACTACAAGTTCAACTTTTAGCAGGGGATTCTGAGGGCAGCCCAGTTTTGATCGGTTAAGAATTTGAACCGCTGGCTCTTGCAGAGGGCAAATGGGATCTCCCAACCCCGGAACACCTCCAGCCCCATCGTTTTCAAACCACAAATTTCAGGGAAGCTGCTAGTAAATTTTCACGGAAATTACTCACTCCCCCAGTTCATCTAGGTTCCCCAGTACTGCCCTTTTACCCTTTTTTGGGGGAGGGTTCCCCTGGCTGGAGATGCCATTTGAGCTTGGGGAGTCATTTGAGCCCCCGGGTGTTGCAGCCGGCCATCCGGCGTTGGGCGTCTACAAAGCCCAGGGCATTTCCCTGCGCCGTCTTCACACCGTGCACGGCTACCCCGCTGTGCTTTCGCCGACTTCGGCGACTTCCGGGCCCCTACGACTGTGTTGCTGGCTTTGGCCATGCTGGTGGTCCGTCGGACTGCCCTCGCCTTCCTGCTCTCAGACCTCAGGGCTACTGCGACCTTCGGTGCTACTTTCACAACGGCCACTTATGGGGCTGGGTCGGCTCAATGTCGGTGACCTTTGCAACGACCTGCTGCTGTTGGAGCTGTTTCCACTCTGTGACGCCGCAGTTTGTTTGCTGACTGCAGTGACTAGTGATTCACGTAGCTCTGGCTGCCGGGCTAGCTTCTTTCCTCTGAACATCTGGCCGGGTGAAGGTGCTGTGCGCTGTTTTTCCTGCTTCGGGGATGGACTCTGCATTGGTGGATTCTCGCTGTCTTCGACAGCCTGTTCGTGGAGCAGTCTGCGCGGTTTGATATGGGCTTGAGCAACACTCGGGGGATGTCTTTCTGTACTAATTACTTCGCATGCTTCTGGCAGTTCACTCTGCCTCTCCCTGGGACGATGCAAAGCCCCCCATGTTTCTTAGGCCGACCCACGGGTTTTGTTAATGGCTCTCGGGCCCTTCCACCGGTGGTGTGGGCGGCATGCCCCTCTCACCTGCGTCGACATCGAGCCGGCGCCACGTGCCAGCCGGCGCCACGTGCCAAAAGGGCACCCTTATTCTAACCTCTCTACCGGAGGGCCTAGTCATGGACTTTAGTCACTGATGGGGCAACCATTCTTTCTTGTAAAATATGTTTTGTGTGTGCGTATTGGCCACTCAGCAAGTGAGTTCAAGTTAAATTCGCTGTTCAGTTCTTGACTGTCCCATGGCGGCCTGCTCCTGCCAGGCATTTCTCTTGCCTCGATGGGTAAGGGTCTCAAGGGATCCAAAAGAGATGGGTTGGTTGCCTCTCCCAGTCCCTGATCGGATTTGCTTCATCATGGATTTGCAAGGGGGGGGTTTAATGTCCTGGTTTGGACATGTTTGGACCATTTTCCCTTTGAAGGGACCAACAACCCGGACGTCAAGTTCCATGAAGGGCGGGAGGGGAACAATAGAGTTACGCCCCCAGTTGACCCTCCTCAGCCCTCAGGGACCGGTCCCTGGCGCCCAAGTTTGGTCTAGGAGCTCGAGCGCTTTCCGCCCAGCTATGCCGACCAAGACAACGTTTTCGAGGCCTTGGCAGCTCGGGGGGCGGGGGAAGGGCGGCGGGGGGGGGGGACATTTCTTGTGGCCCTATTTTTGACACAGAGCCTTTAGAGCGTTGTAGATCTGGATTCCTAGTTGTTTCGGTTGTTTGTTGCTTTTTGAGGGGGTCTTGGGTGTGTTTCCCCTGCGAACCACATTCTACAGGGTACTTGCGCGAATGTCATTTTACAACAGACGGGTGTGTCCATGTGGGGTGTATGTAAGTAGGGCCTCTAAGGCAATGGGGAGAACATCTCCAGCGCCCGAGTGGCAAGGCACATCTCTTTGTCCACCCAGAAAATCAAGGCGCAGCTGCCGCGAACAGAAGGTTATGTGGCTTAACTTGACTGCTACTGGGTTGGATCTTTAGACTTTAACTTTTTTGGAAATCAAGGGGTGTTCCACAACCCCCAAGAAGTTAAACTTTTTGCAGGGGGGTCAACAGCAACCAAGTTAAGGGGAAATAGTTTTGTCCTCTGTGCATTCGGCACTCTGTCAGAAGTCTCAAACTGGCTTTGGTTTCTCCATTCACTGTAACTTGTAGAAGATGGAGCATTGGTGGGGCGTGAAGGGAGATAAGGGGTATTCGGTACGAGTTGTTCAATTTCGGTATATCGGTGCTGCTTTTCAGAAAGTAGCTCGGGCACTGTCCCAAGTTGTCCTTGAGTTTGAGCCGTTGGGCAAAGACGGCTTTTTTTCGGCATTCATGGGAGCTGACGGCAGGGTTTTTGGAAGATTAGCCCATGATTGTTGATAAGAGAATGCCGAAAGAGGATACTATGTTCGGCAGAAGCCGTTGCAGAAACAGGGTACGTTGGATGTCATTCGGCAGAACACCGGCCGGCCAGCACTTTTCTTTATGTAGCCAAACCAAAACATGATGGATTTGTGCACCTATATACTTTGACCCAACTGTGAATGTAATCAACGCTTCTTATTCATACGCATTTGCCTTTTCACGGACACGGCCTCCATGCCTCCAAAATCGATCCCAAATCCTTGTGCCAGAATCAGATGGGCATGGCTTCCCTTGCAGCGTCATCCTGAGAGGCTGCGGATTAGGACTAGGCCGATGTGAGCATCCCAGCCACATCCACAGGCGCAAACATGAGCTTGGGGCCCCCAAACTTGTGATTCTGCTTTCGGTGTCCCTTGAAATCCCCCCCCAAGGCGACCGAGCCTGAGGAAGCCCCCATGCCTGAACTGGAGTCTCCGACCCCAAACCCAGTTTTGAGTGTTGGGGGCAGGCTACGGACGAGACTCAGGAGAAAGAACACATGATTTTTTTTGTGTACCTCAGATTTGGTCGTCCCCCACATTTCTTGAAGCGCGCTTTCACGCGCGAAGCGCGTTTCGCGAGCGACCAGGAATACCTTGGCAACCACTCCCTGGCTCCTTCCCGTCACCAGCTGGCGCTGCGAAACTCGCCGCTCGGATTGATCCCATGGGTTTTATGGGTTTGGTTCTTGTCTGCTCGGTAGCGAGCCGCTTTGGGCCGCATTTTTAGGGACAGCCACGTCATGTTTTTGTTGGGGGGGAATGAAAGGTCAGTGGAAAAATCAGCTGTGGGCTTGTTTGACTCAGTTGCAACCAAAGCGAATCGACCTGACATGACCTGTTGGTTTTCCGGATTTGGCCAATTTTTAGTGTTTCAAAAAGTTTAAACTCTTGATTTCCAGGTCCTCGCGAGGAAGATGAGGGGTACCCGTTCTCGGCCGTGTTTCAAGGGAAACCGAAAGGAAGAATCACATTTTCCCGTTTTTTTTTTGGGGGGGGGGGGGAGGTCAAAGTTGAGGAGCAAAGTCAAACACAACGCTTTTTTGTTGGGAGGAAGGATGCCCGGTGCAGTAATAGCAAACATATCGCACATACCAGCTCGTTTAGAGGATCCGAGCTCATAAAAGAAACAGGTACTTCCTGGATGCATCCTGCAAGAAATCTTGCTTCATGTAATTTTAGGTTTGGTCCCTACCGGGTTTCATAGGGGTCACAGTGAGTCGAAACCTTTCAGACCATATGTGGCTCAAGTTTCAAGAGCTGCAAACCGCAGGGTTTGGCCGGGTCGTGTCCATAGGCGTCCTTTTTGGTTGTTTCGATAGAAACATAGATGGCCATTCCTGGTTTCCCTGGTGGTTGAAGATCATCCACCAGAAAAAAAGCCCATCTATTTCCCCCAATTCAGGACGCCTATGGTCGTGTCTTGTTTCAGGCCCCCGGAAAAAGTGGTAGCTTTGCTGCTGGTGTCCCTAAAGGGTGCGCAGGTCCAAGGGTCCAAGGGTCGATGATTCGCACCGGGCGCTCGGGTTAACATATCTTTGAGACCCATAGGTTCCCGGCTAATGGGCGTGCCGATTTTCTCGTGGTTGTCTCCAGAGGCAAAACATGGTGGGTTAACCGCTAAAAAGTGGCACCCTCAACAAAGTAGACTACCACAAAAAGTGGCGCCCCCCAAAAAGCACTACTACAAACAAGTGGCACCCTTAAACAAGAAGACCATGTTCACTTTCGCCCAACTGTAGACTTTCATCGGTCGGTTTCTTCCGAATCCGAGCCTTCGAGCCTTGTTTTGCGTCTTGGATCTTGACGCTTCCTGGGGTCAAGACGCGTGGTGAGCCCATGAGTGAAACTTTGCACAGGTTGGAACTGGAAGCTTCGTGGTGCCCTTTTGTGACCGGTGCCCCCCTTTTTTTTGCCGGAAATCCACTGGAGTTCTGGAGAGCTGACCGCTCGCACCTGGGGGAGGGGAGGAAGCAAGGACATACTTTCGGAGAAATTGAGTTGGGGTTGGTGAAAAGGAGTTCACAGGAAATTGACGTGCCTTGGGTGTTCCCTTTTTTCGGTGGTTCACGTTCCCCAGATGCGTAAGCGAAAAATGGAAAATGGTTGCTTTGCTTTTCTTTTTCTTTTTCATGGGCTCTCCAAAATCGAGGTTTCCTTATCTCCCCCCCAAACAAAAAGGGAGAGCTTCCTTTTGGCTTGCCTTCGATTCAAAAGCCAGAAGCGGCTCCAAAATCGCACCAGCCAGGTCAGGGCTTATGGAGCTTCATTACGAGACCATGAGGACATGCGCGCTGTCTTGTTGTGATGGTACCAACTTGAGGGTCAGGTTACCCTTGGCTGCTGGTTTGCCCTTGGCTGGTTGGGGATGTTTTTTTGGAACCTCAGCAGCTTTGAAACCACAAGGACAAGGTATCCGGAGCCGAAACTCCGGAGGTCCCTTTCGGACTTTACTCTTGGTTTTGAACCGTTTTAGAGGCGCAAAAGTTCGGACTCGTTTTGGCCCACTCAGGAAGTGAGTGGTACCCTTTTGAAATGGGAAGCTGACAGGACCATAAAAGCCCCCCCCCCCACCCCAGCCCATTTTGGGGCATTCCCTGTTTTGAGACGAACCCATGTTTGTTGATAACACTCGGGTGGACTTGAACCCAGCATCGGTTTCCCTAGGGAAATCGGCCACTTGTAGGGGTAACAAGCAAGTGGAGCCCTGATTTCAGGCCACATCTCAACAGGAGAGCCTGGGGATTTGCCGCGTTTGTGGGAGACGAAAGCTTTGTGGGGAGACTTACTTTGATTCTTGCCATTTCTGCCTGGTACGGCGAGCAAGCAACCCGTGATTTTGGTCTTCTTGAATTCAAAGCTGTGGCATTGAATTCTGTTGTCATTTGGTGATGGGATCATCCTTCCGACCAAAACGGGTTTCGGATGTCCAATTCGTTTACATGTTCTCCCTCGTGACGTCCCCTAGATCGCAGGGTCTGCAATGTTAGCCCCAGCGCCAAGGCCTGGTACTCAAGAAAACCAACTAGCAAAGATACAGGGGAACCAGGGATACGGGAGGCTTCCCCCTAAATGTTTGATATGGGCCAAGTCTCCACCAAGCTGCCTTCAGGCGATTCCGCCAAAGAAAGTTTTCCTTGCTCGGGTGGTGCCCACGAAAGCTGGCATGCTTTGCAAGATGAAGAGCGGCCCGGGTGCCTCAACGATTCGCGCTACTTGTTTTTCGCTGGTGGGAAAATGTCAGGACCCTTCAACCGAAGGCAATGGGAGTCCTTGAGGGATTTTTGAGCTCACGCACGTCAATACTGATTCAGAGGCAAGGACCCCTACTGTGAAAAGCCTTGCTGGCACTGAATGGTTCCCTAGTTGGTCACTATTTGCAATGCCTCTTTCGAGCTGGCTTTGAGCCATACAACAGGGGGAACAACCTTTATGCACCCCAAGATATTCTAGATAACCGCATTCCAGCCAAGTACCCGGTCTTTTGCCAGCTTCCTCTATTTTTTCCCGCTTTTTGGACTCTGCGCAAACCCATCCTGCAGGAAGAAGGCCAAGGAGCGTGCCGCCCACCCCGTGCAGAAGAAGCTCCCCAGCATGGATCGAGCGGCTCGGCGGACAGCCGAGTTTTTTTCTCTTACTTGTTTGTGCCCTTTTGGGCTCCCTTCACTTTTCCTTTTCGCCCACTTGTTGCAGAGACCGGAGTCTGGGACGGGTGGATTTTTTGCCCCCAAGTCCGACTCCGAGCCCCGTTTAGGTTTTGTTCGGTGTATGTTTAGTGTGTAAGCAGCGCCAAACAGCTCTTCTGGCCCCTTTAGTAGGGTGTCCTACTGCCTGGCTTCAGAAAAGTTATACGAGGTCTCCCAGTAGTGCCCTTTTACAGTTTGGGGGAGGTTCCCCTACTAAAATAGACTGCAGAAAAAGAGCTCCCTTATTTTATCCTCTTTATTGGAGGACCTCGTATAGTAAGGGCGCTGCTCCTTTCGGCTTCCGGGTCTTGTGGGGTCTTTCTTGTAGAAACGCTTGAGTGACTTTTCAAGGCCTTTCCGTGAGGAAGTGAACGGACAGATCATGGCCAGGACCTTCTCAGTACCCAAGTGTTTGAACGTTGTACTTTCCGAGAGTATCATGTTCACATCCCCAGTCAATCATGGATTTCCTTCACGCCTACTTTTGTTACAGCTCCGAATGCATAGCTGATGAAGATCGAAACCAAATGCAAGCCACCCATCTCTTTTTTTGGATGGGAGACTCAAACCAGTTTTTTTTTTTGTGGGGGGGGGCCATTTGGAGGCACCTGGCTCTACTGCTATTGGATGCTATTGGGTTGGATCTTAGGACTGGAAAACTTTTTGGATTCCCCTCATATTTCCTTTTAACCAGCAACAAGTTTAACTTTTTGCTGGGGGATCTACAGCACCCAAGCTGGAAGTAACTATTGCCTTCAAGAGCCAAATCGCCAAACCAGCCGGGCGAGGCCTTCACCGCGTGCGCTGGCTACAGCGGCGGCTCTGGCGGTAGTTGAAACGCAAGGAAGGGGGAACCCCGGAAGAAACCCGTGGGGCGTGATCCCAAGCGTTGGATTCAACTACAAGGGGACACGGTCGGTACATTGAGATCAATCCTGGGGTCCTAGTACCTCTTAATGTTGACCCAGGATAAATAAACCCGTCCCACTATTCGGGGGGTGTTCCCTCCAAAAGTGATGAATCCCCACTAAAAGGGGACACCCCCCTATTAATCAACCAGGGGTTTATTAATCCGGGGTTAACATTATTGAGAGGGGTGGGCCGGGGTCCCCCATTTGGTGGGGGATTCATACCGCACCACCCTATTCATCAACCAGGGTCTGCTTGTCTGAGGTCGACAGCTCCCTCTTTCAACATCCGCCGAATTGGACAGAGGCCGTTGTTGCAGCGAGGATAGTTTCTCTATTTGTAGTATATTTCACATCTCCCTACAAGCCAATGACATATGACATGCTAGCGAGCTGGTGAACTACTAAACAGAAGGAAAGAACAAGCACGGAGAGAAAATCAAAAACACTCAATGGACCACTCTGCATTCTGTTTGAGGGACTCGTTCTCTCCACTGGGCTTCCAGACCTTTGCCAGGGCTCATCCCTGGCAAGATCTCCGGCAACATTGCGCGGCCCTTGGGGGCCTCCGCCGTATGAATCTAGTCGAGACGATAGCTGGGCAAGAAGCAACACATCCAGTAAACTCGAGGTAATTTTGAGGCCAAGTTCGTGGTATCCATGCCAGGTCCCCCAGTAGTGCCCTTTTGCCCTTTTTGGGGGAGGGTTCCCTACTAAAATCGACTCAAGAAAAAGGGATGCCCTTATTCTAACCTTTCCACTGGAGGACCTAGTAGGCTTCACCTTTAACGGGAGTTCGGTTTTGGCCAACAGCAACTGCTTTGTTTGGGGCTGGCCGTGTCCCTTGCGAAAAGGAGTGCTGAGCATGAGTGCTTGCCCTGGTCATGCTAAGCGCCAAAGGAGGTCTCTGCGAAAATCGGCTGCGCCTGTGCCACTTTTCGTTTGGGAGTGTCACTGTAGTCCCATGACCGGTGTTGCGGTACACTCGCGCGGAATGTACGCTAGGGTCTCTCACCGTTCGAGGGCCTGGACTTTACTCAGTTTGGTGGAGCCATGTGAGTGGCAACTCACATGAGTTGTTCAGCAAATGGCTTTTTGGAGTTTTCCTTCGGTCAGACCTGGCCCCAACTTTCTTATGTTGGTGGAGCCATGTGGGTCTTCGGTCAGCAAAAATGGCCTGGCAGGTTGGGAAACAAATGGGCCATGAGGCGTGGCTGTGAATGGCCAAAGTCGGCCTTTGCGCTTTGAAATGGATGTGTTTTTTTTTTTTTTGGCTTGCCTTTGAAAGCAAACAGGCTTGTGCTCTTCCTGGCATGTTCTGTAACTTCGTTTTTTTTTTTGTTTTTTGTTTGTTCTGTTCATTTTTAGTGGGGGGCTGCAAAGGCAGACGATTCCTGCTAACACATGCCAAGGGCTGGGAAGATTTGACTTTCGAGGTTTGGCTGCAAGTAACACACCTTGCAAGACTACCGCCGCCGCCATGTTAATCATTCTATATGTGTGTTCTCTTTTTCTAACCAGACAAATTCGATCATTATTAACATTATTACTATTATTGCTATTACAATTATTATTCTTCGTGTTAGTATCATCATTATATATGTACTTCCTACAGGAAAACTCAACTACTATTTTATGTATTTCACCTTTGGCTTGGATTAAAGGGCTGGTGGTTTTCTTCAGGAAACTGGGCCCTGCGCGAGAAAACTGAGACGACACTTCCTGGAGGCTGGGTGTATCGGGACCCGGTGGGCAGCCCTTTGGCTCGAGGAAAAAACATCATCCAACACCTGGCTTCGAAGGGGGTTGCCACAGATTAGGGGCCCTGAAAGGATACGATTGGGCGCGTGTTTGTTTTTTGGTTTGAGTTGGTAGGCTTTAAGCGGGGGCCCGATCCCGAAAACACAAAAACTCATCCGACCAGTTTGCTGACCGGCATTTTTTGGAGGAGTTCCTTGCGCAGGCTTTTGGGCGCACATCCGTTTAAGGAGGCAAGCAGCCTGGCCAGTAGGAACTTCATGTTTGTTTTAGCCGTTTCCGCACGCAGGTTTTCCGTTGGGCCTTTATGGCCGGAATTTCCGGTTTTGCGAGACCAAGCAAGAAACATGTTTTCTGTTTGTGCTCCAGAGGTTTTCCACGTTTTCCTTGGGCGGTCATTTTGAACATGATTCCTTTTTGGGCATGTGGAAAAAAATCCCTATCCGGCCCATCCAAAAAAATAGCATTAATTTGTTGGGATTTGAATCCTTTGCGGGAAACCATCCCAACTCACTCCCTGCGTTCCGTCCCGGACTAAAGTTCGGACTATGTGGCAGCACACAACTCACTTCTTGAGTTGATGGGCTTTTTACTTTTCCGGTTTGGACCACGTGAGCGGCTTGCACCAAAATTTTAAAGTGCGGTTACCTTTTTGTTTGTCGGATATCCACTGGATCCGAAGTGAGACCAGCTACGGTCTGTCCAATCCGCCGGGGGGCGCCATGGGCGCGTGCCTGGCGCGGACGCTGGACTGCTGTGATGTGAGTTGCCTCAGGGACCAGGCGCCGGCGACTGTGGATGGACCAAATCCCATGTCGCAGCGTTCAGAAGCCCTGGTTTCTGATTCGACTCCCCAACGCAGATACCAACAAAGAATGGGTTCTCATGGTTTCGAAGTGGTGCAGGATCTTGTCCATCCACAGTATCACCCCACTGTCCTAGAGGTGGAGTTGCTCTTGCCCAAATCTGAGGCCGTGTGGCGGGGGGAATTCCAATATCCAAGTACATGCAATTATTCAAAGGAAAGTCATTACAAGTTTCAAGGTCAAGCCTTCCTTACAACAGGAAGCCTGACTTGCTATGAATGAAGCCAGCCCGGGTCATGACCCACCCCCTTCAGCCAACAAATCGACCAGTTAGTGCAAGTTTCTCAACCAAGGTCCAAAATAAGGCCCACCCCCACAAAACGAGACAAAGAGCTCGAAATCCTCCTCCCTCCTTTTCCCGCCACCCCACACACACAAGAAAAAACAACACCTGAAAAGCGCTTCTCCTGCCCAGCCGCAGTCTCCTGCCAGCCGCAGCCCACAGGTGGACGCGTTGTTGGGCTATGTCTCTCCACAGCCCAGCGGTCTGCCTCGCGTGCCGCTCGGATTGAGCGCGGACTCTTCTTGGCTTTTATATGCTTGAGGTGGTTGATGTCCGTTGGTTTGAAAGGGCCATGCCCGTATTAGGTGAATAAGCAATCATTTTGCAGGTCTTTGTGTTTGCCACTTGGCCGCGAAGGAATTTGGTCGTGCTGGGTGATGATTAAATATTATATATGTTGGTTTGAACTGGCACCTTTCGGAAGGTGCGCCTCTTTTTTTTTTTGGGTGTCTGGAGCCAATGCTGGTAGATCATCGCTTTCCATTTGCTTGTGGTTGGTTTGAGGGGCAAGATCGCTTTTTTTGTGTGGATCCGCACTGTGGTTTGTCTCGATGCCGAGCGCGGACATGAAACTCAGTTGCGTTGGATGCATGATGCATACGAGTGCCTTTTTTTGTGGCGAAAGGCTGTTCTATTGCGATCACCGTTCCATTTTGTTCCAAGGTATATTCAGGCAACCCTGAGTTGGTAGTTTGGATTGGTGGCTTGGGATTTGAACCCCCTGCTTCGTGTGGAGGGTAATTCTTCACCACCAAACCATCAATCCAAACCACCAATAGGAGGGAAGCTGAGGATTTGTGGTGGTAGTGGAGGGTGGGGTCTCTATCTCCCTGCAAGGGGCAAAAAGCACCGCGGGGCCTTCGATCAGAATTCAAAGCCGGGCCAAAAGTGGGAGAGGAGTGCATGAGCTTCACCGTTGTTGGCAAGTTTTTAGTTGTTTTTGTTTTGTTGATACCACACCAAGCATTGCAAAGTGGGGAGTTTCTTTCTCACGCGCGAGGGTGGATTTGACAGAACACTCTTCGCATGGTTAGTCCCATGAAAACGTTGGGAGGGGGAATGTTGCCCCCATCTGAAAGTCAACCCTTGTTTGTCAATACTGTGGATGTACAAAATCCTGCACCACCTAAGAATTTCTAGAAGGATGATTCCCCAACCATGGTTTCAACCATGGTTTCGAAGTGCAGGATCTTGTCCATCCACAGGGGGGTGGGGGCCCCTCCAGCGGTCTGATTCCTCCAGGGGGACACCCAGGTCGACACCCAGGATTCGGTGGGGATCAGACCACTTTAGGCTTTCCGACCGGCTCCAAGGGTTTTGGGGCCGCTTGAAGCGGGCTGGGGGCTGGAAGAAGAAACGGTTCCTGTACCCAAGTCAACATGGAACAAACCAAAGACCCAAGGGAACATTCGCTTTTTGGTCCCGGACCCACGTTTGCCCTAAGGATTGTCATCATCTAAATTGAGTCAACCGTTCTTTTAATGGGGGTTGAACCCTAGGGAATTTGTAGTTGAAGTATTTGCTTTTTCGGCACACTCCGACGTTTTACAGCCCTCGTCCTCGGTGGGTTTCCGCCAACTGTGAGTTTGCGGAAACAGACTGATTCCCTGCTGGTTGCCTGAGTTTCGTTTCGGACTTCTTCTTTTTCTGGGTAATGTTTGTATTATGGGTATGAATTTGGGTAATGATTCTTTTTTCGGACTTCTTCTCTTTTTTTTGACTCTTTTTTGGTAACTGCGTTGTATTTCTGTTTGGCCAATGCACTCGATCGGAAGTGTACATGCCATTTTCAAACACTGTCAACATGGCGGTTTGATCATGGGGTTGAGTCGATGCATTTCCCTACCTACATTGGTGCGGGTAAAAATCAAACTACCAGGGGACTGCAGGTTTTAGTCCATAAGTCCATTTACCAGGGTTCCCAAAATCACATGTTGCGATCCGGTTTTCACCACGTTGTTTCTTGGAGCGGGGTCGAGCCGGTTGCCTCAGGGATGCCAGCTGCATACCCGCTGACATTTAGGAGGCTTCCTCTGAGCTGAAGTCAATAGTTGTTGACGTCACATTGCGGTCCGTTCCCAGCAACCTTCAGCCAAAGGCGAAAGATTAGCACGGGTCTTTTTCGAGAACATCACCGAAAACAAGCAGTTGATTTGGGAGGATTCCCTGGTCAGTCTTAAAAAAACATCACCCAAATACCCGTGGACTTGGACGAATCCCATACAACACAGCTGGGTTTTGGATGTACCCCACCGGAACATCCGGTTGAATCAGTTCCCGCCGCTCGGCTCGATCCGCCGAGGTACAGCGAGTCCGCGCCGGATCTGCTGAGCTTGGACTCACCCATGTCTCCAGGCCGGTCCGGTCGCGTGAGAGGCAATCGACGTTGCCCGAGCGTTTTGGACCTTTTTAGGTTTTCAGATGTTGGGTCCAGATCTCCTTGGCGGCTCCGGTTCACTTAGCTTTTTAGCCTTTTAGATCTTCTTAGTGTTTAGTGGTTAGTTTCCATGTAGCCCACTAAGAGCACAACTGGGAGCGGAAGATCTGAAAACCACCCTTTTGAGTCATGCCACCAAAAGGGAAAAGCGTTTAGGATGCTTTTCGGCACCGGTAGGCCTCCAGTTTGCTTTTCTTTGGACCGGGCGCTGGTTTTTAGCGGTTTCTGGGTGTCATTCTCCAGGTTAACATGGCACCCAGAAAGCCGTCGCTTGGTTGAGATCTCCTTTTGGGGGGCCCTTGTGGGTTCCATACTAACCTGCAGGGTATCAGAATCAGAGGTTGCTCCTTCAACCTACCACTTAGGTGTTTTTGACAATGGCAACGGTAGAATAATAGGGCCAGTCGGAGTGATTTTCCCTTCAACGCCAGCCAACTTAAGCAATGACAAGTACCCCCGTTTTGTTTCGCATGGCCATTGGAGGCATGGGGGCTGCCGTGGTCCTGATCCCCCACCCCAAACCCCCCCTCTTTTCTCCCCAACCTAGCTCAAACCCGCCCCAAACTCATGGAAAGGGATCCCCAAAGCCGCCGCAGCTTCGGTCAAGGCCTCTGGTGGGAAAGGAAGAGTTTTGTAAGCCGGGGGAAGTGAGACCCTACGTAATTGACGTGTCCCGCGGGGGGGACTTCGGGGACTATCCTCTCTTAGGTGTCCGACACGCCAAACAATGTCGGCGGACTTTTGTAAAACGAGGCCGAATTGATATCCAATTGCGGCAGACGACTGCTGGCGGCCTGTTTGGTTGAGCATTTTAATTGCTGAAAGTCAAAGACTCATTTGCGAGCAATGTTGCGTCCCATGCAGTTCTTTTCCCGCGCCATTTCTTGTGCCAGGGTGCAACTCATGCGCTTCGTGCCAGGACACGTGACCCTGCTCATTAAAGCCGACTTCGGATTAACACATATTGCGATTTTGATTGGGGCACCCCTAATCAATTAATCAGGGTTTACGCATCTTGGGTCAAAGTTACAACGTGTTTTGTTGCCCGAAAAATGGAACGACGTGGTCATTGAGAAGAACAACGCATCCACACAAACACTGTTTTTTACCATTGCCGGAAATAACTCAACTTTTGAGCTGTTTTTCATGTGCCCCTGAAAGTCCAAGTGCGGGTGTTTTTCTTTGAGGGAACCCCCCAAAAAAGGTGGCTCTACAGGGAAACCAAAAAGAAAACCTCCATATTTGGGGGGGGTCCGACGTCCGACTCCCCAAGCAAAAAGCACGCCCAAGTCTGGCCAGGTTCTCCCCCCCCCTCTTGGGGGAAACGGCTCGTTTTCCGGTGTGCGGTTCGCGGTTCATTCGGTCGTCTTGGGAGGCTCGTCAAGGAGTCAGCTGCTGCGTATGGTGCGGGCGAGGACTTGGAGCACGGAGAACTTCAAGCGGGGCCTCCGTGTCTCGCCATGGGCCTTTGGCCGGGGGGGGGGATTGGGTGGGCTCGAAGTGGCCTGGGAACCTATGTGGCCGTGGGTTGCCAAAGCCCATGGGATCCCATTTCGGGGTGGCTGCACCACCCATTTTAGTCGAAAAAATCAGTGGGGGTTGGGATGTTCACTGGGGGCTAACCGGGATTTTGACCCATGGCCATGTCTGGCCTTTGGGTTCGGGCAGCCAATCGGCAAACAGGAGCTTGGTATTGCCGGTAGAACCTGGCGGATGGATAGGTCAGGGGCATTTTCAGGTAGAGGCCATAGCCACCAAGCTTGTAATGTGGCTTCTTACCCCTTGTGCAAGTGCTATATATCCTTCATACCTGGGTGGTGCTCAAAATTAGGCAGGAGGGGCAAACCGCAGGTTTTGGTCCATGTTTCCACTTACCGATCGGGCAACCCATTTTGGCTCCAAAGCCCATACCTGAAAACACCTTTGCGGTGTGTGCCCCCATAGGATTTGGGTTGGCAATTGGTGGGTGCAACCTCCTGTGAAGGATCATTCCGGGCAGGCACTTCCTATCAAACCCGGGGATTTGGTTCAGCCCGAGTCCCCGTTCAGATCCGGGAAAAATGGGGTTGTCCGTTTTTGTTTCTTGTTTTTTTGTTTTGTTTTCGGGGATCCATCACTCTTGGGGAAACACTCGCGCAGGAAATGAATCCATGTAGGATCCCCATCTCTGGATACCCCCAAGGAGAGTTTGCAACATGGGCCAAAGCTCATTGCCCAGCTCTTATCATGTGGGCAAGTGTCAGCACAGAGGGCAGCCCCAAATGGTAGGGTAAAAGTGCGAAGATTTGAAGGGTAACCCATTTTGTATGCGTAAAAGTGGGGATTCGGACCCCCCAAATGGTGGCTTTCCCTTTTGATTTCCCTTTAAGACCACCGCACACCTTAGTTGACTGCCCGCAATACAAGTTTGCAGTCTGGATGGGTCAATACTTTCGCCGGTCCCAATGATCCTTCCCACCATACACGCTTCAAGAGAGGCATGGCAAACCCGCCAAAGCCTGAGCCTGCACAGGCCGCTTTGCGAGCTCCGCCTCGCCCAAGCGGGTGAAAGCAGATGAGCTGGATTTCGGGGACATGGCAACCCATGACCGCGCCCGCAACATCATGCACTTGTGGCGGCTCGGCATTGGTTCGGACGCGGGCATATGCTGGCATGGGGCCGAAAAAGTTGTTTGTTGAAACTTTGGCGGCTTCATCCACCTTTTGGGCCAGTTTACTGTGGCCATGAAAACCTTCAAGTACTTGTTGTTTGGCGTCTCGCTGGAATTGGCCTAAGGAATATCACAATATCATTGGATGTAGTCCATAACTTGACCTGGTTTTAGAGTCCCCCACCCCCCCCTACCCTCTCATTCCAAACATGTTACCCCTTATAGTCATAGGCCACAGCTACACCGCTGGGCGGAACTGCAAAGGATCGGGGGGTTGATCAACCCTTCCTGGCCCCAAAAAACACGACCATGGGTAACTTCCTACATTTCGTGGGAAATATCATCTTTTTGGTGGTGTTCCCCAAACTTTGTTCAACCCCCCAGGAAGAGCCAGCTTGGAGTATGAAACTTGCCAGTTCTCACTTCCAACATGTTGCCAGTCCACTCTGGTTGCGTGGGTTCCACCCCCTTTCCTGGATTTTGGGGGAAGGGTGGTCTGTGGACATATCCTTAAATGCCGAGTGGGGGAGCCCACCCCCCTTTCTCTTCGTTTTTTTGGGGAAGGGCTCGCTCAGCACATGTGGTGGTTTGGAGTGGTTTCCGGTGTGCCCTCAAAGCCGGGGGTTCAAATTTCCAAACCCCCATCCAAGCCACCAACGAAACGGGTTACCCGAGTCCCCTTTGAAACCAAGCCACCAGAAACGGGATTCTTGGAATCCAGCGGGCGCTGAGAGGGAGGAATTGGCGCCTCAGGAAGGTCCGGGGAGCTTGTCGCCCCATCACGGACTTCTACGACTTCGATTGCCATCTGGGGGAGGCAAGCCGGTTGGGGGGCTTGCCGGAAAGGGGGATGTGCAAAGAGTTTGCGTATCACGACTCCCGTTCTTTTTCTTTGGCCCATTTTGCTTGGATGTTAGGACTTCAACTTTTGCCAACTGATGGGTTTTCCCATGTTTTCCATGAATCCACTACAAGTTAAACTTTTTCTGCGGGGGAGCAGAAAAGCCACCGAGACTTTTTTCCGTGTTAATTTATGGGGAGACGGCTGGTCCATGAGACGGGCCCGGCGATCCAACCATCTCCAATCCCATGGCTCCTGGAGGGGAAAATCCACGGCCTTGGGGGCCCGGGGATGAGTCCTCGGAGCTCGGGGTTCTCGTTGTGTCGATTTTTTCCCTCGAAGTCGACCCCAATTGTTCTTCCCACCTGAGTTCATGAACTTTAAACTTTTTGGGAAGACCATTTTAGTGGTAAATTTAAAGTTTGGGCTTGTTTTTGGGCCATCCACTCAGCCAGTGAGTTGTTTGTTTTTGTTGGAGCGCCCCTTACTCACAGCATGGTGAGAGATGCCGGGCGGAAGTCTTTTTGGCCATCAGTGCAGGGGGAGGTTCACTGTAGGGGGCCAGGTGAGATAGCTGAAGCGCCCCTGTAGGTGAAAGGCTGAAGCTTTCAAGCTACGGCCAAGTTGGACCAACACCAGAGTGCCTTCACCTTTGAGCCAACCGAATTCAAAGGGTTGGCCACTCATTCCGGAGTGAAGCGGGACCCCCAAGAAAGAAATGGGCCATGTTGCCCTTCCACACTTGCCCTTTGTGGGCACAAGGGTGGTCAAAAATAACGTTCCGGTGCGGTCGGCGCCTGAAAAGGGGATACCCAAAGGCGGCCGCCGTAATTTTGATCCAGAACAGGATTGTGAACGGGAGCACGTTCAAGAGAGAGGTGCCAAAGGCGCCTTTCGGGAAAATGAATGTCACCCAACCGTCCTAAGGACGGCCTGAGCAACCATTCACGTTTTTTTGGAGGGGTGTGGGTGATGTGTAGCATGCATCGGAATGGAGCGGACTCGCCACATGTCCTGTTCATAGCACGTCTCTCGGTTTGTTGCGCTGGGGTTGGTACTCGCGCCCCTCGGGAAATGTAACGAGTCGCAAGCAATCTACCCTGCATGCCTTTCACTTAGGAAAGCAATCCCCAAAAGGATCTCTTTTTATAGCAAGGTGTAAGGGTTGCGTGGGTGCATCCCTTTTCTTTGGGGCATTTTGCATGGATGATAGGACTTGCACTTTTGGACAACAGGTGGGTTTTCCATTAAACCACTAAAAGTTAAACTTTTAGCAGGGGAGCAGAAAGAAACCGAGTTTTGCTACACCCTTCTGCAAAAGCGGCTGGGCAACTGGGTGTAGGAGTAAATTTATCCTGCCTCAGCAGGTCCGGGGACTGGTCAGTTGAGGTGGCCCAGTCAGGACCCCACACCTTGCGTTTTCGAGCTGGACAAAGCGTGGCATGAACCCCTGCTTTGTCGCACCACCTGAGTTTGCCTTTTTGAGGCTACAAATTGTGGGGTGGTTAAAAAAGGGGAACCACAAGTAGGGAACCGAGCCTCGGAATCCTTTTCTGTTCTTGCCTTAAAAGGGAAACGGCAGCCAAAGGGAAAGCACTAGCTTGGGGGTTGCTCTATGATTGTTTTTGATCGCTTTCCCCCTCAATCATGTTACAAAGAGTTGGTGGCTTAGTGGCTTAGCTTGGGCTGGAGGTCAGCCGTGCACTTGCGCAAGAGAAACACCTTCAATCCCCCACTAACCTCCAAACGCCCTTTAGCTGTAAGGTTGTTTAAAGGCTTGGCGGGTACAAGAGAACAGTTTGGATATGTGTTTTTAGGGAACCCCAACAAATACTTGGTGGTTCCCAGCCATCCCCTTAGCTTTAAAAAGCCTTTTAGTGTGTTGTGGGGATTTCCATTTAACCCACTACTAGTTAAACTTGTTGTTTGGCTGGTGATCTGAAATCGGACAGCCCAGTCTTCAGGGTACCCCCATGCAAAAAGTTTAGCGTTTTGGGGGTTTAGTGGAAAACCGGTTTTCTCGATTGCTTTCTGCAAAGCCCTGCAAAAAAGTGGCTAACTTTGAGTAGTTGAATACGGGAAAAAAAAACAAACAATTCATGAGTTGGCAAAAAGTCCTAACTTCAAGTGTCAAAAGAGGAGACCATATTCCAAAATTGTAGTCTGATTCTTGGGGCAAAACGGGTGTGTGTTAAAATAGGGAGCTCACAAAAAAGGGCATCCCTTTTGGCTTCCCCGTTTAAAATAGGTCCCTTTTGGGCAAACGCTTGCACCAGGGTGAAAGATGGAAAAACTAGATAGCACATTTATATGAGGGTCAGCAAAGGGGATTGCAAACTGAACATGGGGAGTGCGTCCACACAACTGTAAGCCCTGAATACCACTGTTGCTCAAACAACCACCTTTAGGTTTCTATAGAAAACCGGTTCAAGCATTGCCCCACTGACCCCCAGAACTGGAGAGCATGAGCCCCGCTTCAACATCATTTTACTCAAGGTCGTTGAAGCACATTTTGAGGGTGGGGCTGATTAACACCCAAAACCCACCCCTCCTTGGCGCTTCTTCCCTGAAAAACGCCGAAAATTCCGCGCCAAGCGCTCAGGGCGCCTTCGGCAGCGTCTCCAAGTGGCGCGTCAAGGGCTCGCCCACCTCCGTGGCCGTGAAGCAGAGCCTCGACGGCTCTTGGAAAACTGGGCGCCTTCCGTTTCTAGGGCGCCCACAGGGTGCCCCATAGGGTGCCCATAGGGTGACCAAAGGAAAACCCAAAGACTCGGCCGTTTCTAGATGTTTCTAGGCTCTCTTTGAAGAAACTCCATATCATTGCTGGTGTTCAGCAATGGGATGATATTTTTTGCATGACCCAGAAAAACCCATCCAAGTGGTGATTTCCTTTAAGACTTTAAGGGGACCCAAAAAAAGGTTCATTCCAGTTCTTATTCCCTACCTCTCGCCCCGGGGAAGCTAGCTGGTGGTAAGGGAGACGAGCCCCGATTTGATAATTTGGGGCTGGGACCCGTCCAATTTTTTGCCCAAGAACGAGTTGGAGCCTTTGGGAGCTGCCGATCGGAACTCTCCGGAGTGGTAGGAGCAAGTCATGTTTAGACCATTCGGGCCGGGTGAGGCTTGTCCAGCTGCATTGAAAAAAAATCCCTCGGGCCTACAGGCCTAGATAGCCAAGTTGCGATCGCTTTTTTTCAGTCGCTCTTGCTGGCTGTTGGGGTAAAATCGGATGGAAAAAACAGCGGCTGGCGATCCAGGTGCAGTATTATGGTTTGGTCTCTGATTTTGAATGGATTCGATTTCACTGCTGTTTCCCAGGGGCGCATTCGCATTCGCACGTGGAGGGTGTGTGACAGAGTGAAATTTGGGCGTGCCATTGCGCCACCCGGGCGGTCCAGTTCGGTTCATGGGCGACTGACACTTCAGCTGGGGCAGGGCTTGTACATCTGAGCGCTCAGTATTTATGAGCTGAAATGTGTGTGTGTGTGTGTTGTTTTTTTCACCTGTTGGTTTTACAGGGAATCTGTCACTAGTGGAAATATGTTATTTTCTCCAGGGGATTTAAGCAAATGGAAGTAAGGGGGATGCCTGGCACACTCACCACAATATCATTGGCTCACCAAACTCCGATGTAGGGGGCACACTGAATACCCTGGCTAATTTCCAGCGGAAAGGTCTAGCCTACATCAACAAATCCCTGTGTCAAATTCTCGTGCTTTCCCTTGCCTTGCAAAAGTGAAGCCATTGGGCAACATATCACAACCTCCCAAACAGAATAAAACGAGCTCACCCAAAGACTGTCTTATGGGATCCCTTATTTCGAGTTGATGAATTGTAAGTCGCCCATACGTTGTGTATGACCAGCTGGTGCTTCACAGTAATTTGCACGTTGCTCAGTTCGTGCTGTTCACTTTTGTGGGGGGCTGCCAAGAGCAATGCGTTTTTTTTTTGGTGTTTCCAAAAAATCAGCGCAACAAGGGTGGGAAAGTCATGGAGGTCAGTTGGTATAGGTATTGATGATTTCGAAGGAGAGTCTTGGCCACCGCTTCCTCAAAACATGGCCGGGAGATGATCGCACTGGCATGCGTCAAAGTAGGGCGACCCCCCCATTTTTGGCGGTTATCCTTGTGGCTTCCCGTGAAACCAAACTGAAAAGAATACCCTCAAGATAGAAACCCAATTCTCATCAAAGAGCGAACCCCGCGTCCCCCCGTGTTCCTCCCGGGGCTCGCCTGCAATCTGACCGAAGTACACCCAGTCCTTTGGGCTCTTGGTGGGTGTCCTGGCATTGGAAAGCCAAGGCGTCCAGATTGAGAACCCTGCCATCTCCCTCAGTCTTCGGATCTTTAGATTACTTTAAAGATCTTGAGGCTTTACTTTAGATTACTTGAAAGATCTTGAGACTTTACTTTAGATTACTTTGGATTACTTGTAGATTACTTTTAGATTACTTTTAGATTACTTTCAGATTACTTTAGATTACTTTAGACTTGTTCGGGGTTCTGAATGGACTTTCCCACCAAACAGCTCAACATCTCGGACATTTTGGCTAGGCCCGCGGGCTGGGTTGAGCCATCCCCGAGGGCCCCGGGCCCCGGGCCCCCGCGCCGAGGATCCGGTGGCAGGCCATTTGGCGGCTCGGCTTTTCGGAAGCCGGCGCTGCGGGCGTTTCTCGTTTCGCGTGTTGGGAAGACCACCTTGGGTTTCCCAGCAATTGGTACCCGACCTCTCACCCCTTTTTTGGAGAAGGGAGGGGTCCCCAAAATAGACAGAAGCAAGCTGGTACCCTTATTCCAACCTCTCTACTGGAGGACCTAGTCCAGCGACCAGTTTAGTGGTAAAAAAAATGAAGTGTTTGGATGTTTTTTTGCCAATCCACTCAGGAAGCGAGTCTTTCTTTTTCCTTTTTTTGGGACCTCCAGACGTGGCGATCGTTTCCATGGAGGCCAGCGGTAAACTGCAACCTTTGAAGGGGGAAATCCAGACTGCTGTGTGGCTTCAGGGCCGAATCTGGAGGACCCATTCTTCTTGATTTTTTGGACCGGGAGGAGTCCCGGTCAGCCATGAATGGCTTCTTCCCTAGAGTTGTCGCAAAACGATGTAGATACACTAAACCTTTTCCCTTAGGGAAGGCCTGCGTGAATGGACCTGGGCAATCGCTTTGCCCCCAATCGACTTGGGAAGGCGAGGAACTCAAATCGTGCAACTCGGGCTCGCTTTCTCTCCCTTCTCGTCGCGTGGCCTGGGGTACCAGTGCAAGTGTGAGAGAGCAGCCATCCGTCCCACGGCTCGCAGGATGGAAGAGAGGGATGGGGTACACATGGGAAGAAAAATGTAAATTTGGGATAGAGGCGAGTGAATGCGATGTTGGCTAGCTCGGCTTTTCTCCGCGCGTCCCTTCACTTCCATCACCGCTCTTTTCGTCTTAGTTTGGACAGGGGAAGGGGAATCCAATCATAGAACCCAGCTACAGCAAATTCTACCGGAAACTAGCCAAATTCCCACCAACATCAGGGGTTTCCTGTAGAACTTCCTATAGTTGGTTTCTTAGAATCGGTGGCGCTGGGCCCCGTTTGGTCCCGAGGGCTTTTCGGCCCCGGTGGCCGAACCATGTGGCCCCTCACGGGCGGGAAGAAACCTTCGGTGCTGGGAGGCGAAGGAGAGCACCAAGATCCCAACGAACGCGGCCAGGTGATTTTTTTGTGGCTCCTTAGGGTGTCTATCGTATGACACTTCCCCAGAAACACACATACAGAATTGCCCCCCAAAAGCCAGGCAATCCGCAGCACAGGCCAGAAATTATCAGACAGGCTTACCGTTTTATCGCTGTTTAAGCTTGTGTTTGTGAAAAGATGTTCCCTTCGTTGACGCCAAGTCACGGAACCCAAGCCTTGTTCCATTTCGTGTGTGGAACCCAGCAGACAAAAAACCGGCCTCTCACCTCGGTTAGATTCCCGACTTTGGATGCTAAGGGCGGCGAGGGGAACAAGAACGACACCTCATCCACCGAAACAAAAAATCAGCTCTGGAGTTCGGAACGGCTCCATCTCACTCTGTCTGAACCATGCCCTGGCTGTTTGTTGGGCTCCGGAACCTTCCGCCTGGTTCTCGCCGTTCCCGATGTATTTTTCCAGAGCCGGCCCACTTCAAGTGGGTCTGTGGTTTATAGGCTGGTCTTTGGTGTGACCCATTCACCCCGCAAAGGCCTTTTCGGAAAAACAAATGCCACTGTTGTTTCCGAATTAAACCCTGCAACCCACCCCAAAGTGGGTAACCTAAACGATTGAACCACACAACTTGTTCAGGGCTTCTTAAAAGCTACATTCTGCAACCATTTGAAACATGGCTTTTCCAACACCAAACTAAAGTTGGACACCACCATTTACAAGTTGCAATGTTCAGGTGTTTTTCATGCATCCGGATCCCTGCTGTGCAACCACTGCGTAGGAGAGCATCCCCCCCCTCCGCCGCTGGCTCAGAAAGGCCGGCCGGGAGCGGATCGATCGATCGATCCGAGGCACGGCTTCTTCCGGAACCGCGCGGCCGAGCGCCTGATCAGGAAGGAGCTGAAGCTCGGCCGAAGCGAGGGAGCGAGTGGTTCGCTGGTCGGGTGAATCCAGCCACTTCTGTGGGACAAGGGGGTATTCCCGGCCCTTTATTTCGGGGGGTAGCCTTTGGGAAGCCATCTGGAAGCCAGCGATTCCACTGGTTTTGCTTGGAACTGAGCCAACCGTCCATCAATTTTGTTGGTTTCATTTACCCTGCGACTCCATTTGCTGGTAAAAACATCCCAGTGATTCCATTTCCCTGGCTGGGCAACCAAAAGAAGCACCCTTTCCAAGCCAAGAGGAACATGGTTGGTTGCCATTGGTTGCCTCATATAGAGGGACTGGGATCTGGCAAGGCGCGAATCCACCTTGTCTCACCTTTTGGTGGTGATTGCTCCTCATTTTGAGGCGGGACTCGACCCTACTTGCCCCAGCTCGACCCTACTTGCCTTTTCGTTTTCCTGTTTTGGTCCATATTTCGTCGAGGTTCCAGGAACGTGATCACCTTGCAGCCCCAAGGGGCAACTAAGGAAGCTGCTGCTGGTGCTGGACAACCCCTTCATCATCAAGCTTCTCGAGCCGAAGATGGTTGAAGTTATTCTCGGGATGTTTAAAGAACATAAAGAAGCAGATCCAAAAGGTGGGTGTCTTTATTAGTAGAATTGTTATCATTGTTATTAGTATTGTTTTTTTTTGGTTTGGCTTGCTCGGCTGGTTGGTCGCTTGGCGCGGCATGTCAACAACTAGCTAGGATATGGTTGCCCTTCAGGTGGGGACCAGCGGGGTGACAATGCACAGGATCAACTCACCGGTTTATTTCCCAATTTTCCAGGATCTGCAGGGCTCCTTAAAATTGATACATTTTGCAACCATTTGAAACATGGCTTTTTCCACCAAAATGAAAAGGAAACCACCATTTTCAAGGCAATGTTCAGGTGTATAATGTAAGGATCCCTGACCTGGTTGTTGACAAACCAATGGGACCCCAGATCAATCAACCGGTTGATTGAGAGGGTGGTCCCCGAGGTAGTGGGAATCCGGACACTTCTGCGGTTAACACCTTGGTAGGGTGGGTTTCTTATTTTCAATCCTCCCAATGCCCATGAACCATCCAGCTTCCCCTTGGAGCTTTCCCTTGGAAAGCGTTGCTAAGGGGCCTTTGGAAGTCCAGGTTGTCCCTCTCAGATCGAACTTTCCCTCATCTGGGCTTTCCTAATGAACCAGGATCTTGTTTCCCCTTTGAGAAAACTCGATCATGCTCAACCAATAGCCCCCCATATGCCTGTCCCTCGCCACAAGTTTGGCGGGTTGCAACATGCCAATCATTGGCAAGATTGATGCTGTCAGTTGTCAAGGTTTTGCTTTGCGGGGCTGTCCTTTGAAGATTGCAGTTAGCAGTCGACAGATTAACATGGAACCCAACAAAACACACAGACATACTCATTTGCAGGAAAGCAAGCTCCTTTGGCAAATGATTTGACCCCCTTTGGGGCAACCCATGTTAGTTCCTTTCGTTAATTCCTTCCGGGGAGTGATTCCATGTTGAGCCCCCGAGGTAAACCAGCCAGGGTAAAACAGGTGCGCCACAACATCAGCTTGCGGTCCCAAAATGGGAGGCACGTGGGAAACGGCGCTTGCATACCCTGTGACAATTCCAGAAGGGAACTCAGAAACTTTGGTTTTTGTGCGAGCTTCGCACATTTGACTCAAACATGTTCTTCATGTGCGAGAATCACACATTTTCCGACTCTGACGGCTCCCTCAATAGGTGAACGCGGTCCGAAGCCCCTTGCTCGGCCAGGTGAATTGGAGGCTAGTCGCTCGATGTTTGAGCGCTGAGCATGAGAACGGAAGTCCAAACGCTCCCAGAGGTTACTAGGTCCCCCAGTACTTTTTTTTGAGGAGATTCGCTTCCTCCACTGAAATAGACCAAGCCGAAAAAAGGGCAGCTTTCTTCTAACCCCTCAAATCTGGACCTCTCGTTACTTGTTGGGCCCAAGCTTTGGCTGAGTGAAACCCCAGTGTGACCTTCTCCCTTCGTCCGCTTGGAGGTTTCGCGAGTGGTTCGAGGACATGTGCAAAGGCATCTTCTTCGTCATGGAAGTCTGCACGGGCCCCTCCTTGCAGGACATCCTGGAGGACTGGTGAGCTGCTACGGTAGGACAAGACATGCTAACCAACCCACTGGTTCAGATGGGTTCTATTTGCTAACTAACCCATGAGTGTTCTTTTTTTAGACTGGTTGATTCGAAATAGATGGTTCCACTGGTTCAGATGGGTTCTATTCCGCTCGTATTCCACTTGCCAGAGCAACCTATCTATTTTTCCACAAGGACACCTAGGAATCAAGCCTTGATCTTCGATTTCTTGACTTGAGCCTTTCTCTTGCAAAGGTTGTTTTAGCATTTTCCCCCTTTGCGAATCTCCCCTCGAGCCCTTCGCCATTCTATGTTTCCCAAGAGGAAGCTGCAGAGACCCCTTTTAGAAGACCATGGTCCTCGTTAACAAAAAAAAACAACACGTTTGGGTTGGTGGGGTGGTGGGCATACACCGCTCTAAATGATGTCCACCATGGCGGGTCCCCCCAACAAATATGAATTCCCATTTGAGTAGTTGTGCCTATGTTCCAGGCCCCCTTTGACACCTGGTCCTAAGCAATCTGACCTGACCTCAGCTTTGGTTTTGTTCAGTCCTTAGCAAGTCTAAGGGTGGTTCATGCCCCTTGTGCATCGTGGAGGTAGAGGTCCAGACACTTAGACGCCCCGCCTCTCGCACATCCCAAACATCCACCAGAAAAGCTGCGGGCCAAATATAGCCCTAGGATCAATTCTATGCTCGACTCCTTTGGGGTTTGCCCTGGAGGTGCCCAATTGCGCCCTTGCCCCGGTGTCCGCCACCAAAACTCGTCAACTCCAAGTATCCTTTTCCATCAGGGGTCGCTGGAAATGTGGTGCACATATATATATATATACACATATATATATAGTTACATATGTATATAGTTGGTGTTTATATGTGGTGTACATACATGTACATATATACATATATATATATATGTATGTATATAATATGTATATACATACATATATGTAAAGTTATGGATATATATAATGTGGTGAATCTTATTTGTTTACAGTCGCTAGCTTCAAAAATCATTTTTTTAGCTTGCCCCTGCACCCACCTGGCGTCAGGAGGTGTGCGGTTTGCCGGAGGAGCAGCGGAAAGCGCGGCTCCAGAAGCTCCGAAGGCCCTCAAATCGGATCCGGTTTTGCAGCTAGGCGAATGTTGACCCCGGATTAATACACCCCTGTTAACTTTATGGGGGTGTTTCCTTCCAGAAGTGATAAATCCCCACTATAACCGGGACACCCCCATAATAAACAGGGGTTTATCAATCCGGGGTCCACAGTAGGTCCCCAGTAGTGTCCTTTTACGGATTCATCTTTTGGGGGAGGGTTCCCCTAAAATAGACTGCAGAAAAAGAAGTTGGTACCCTTATTCTAAGCTTTCTACTGGAGGAGCTAGTAGCTTACGGAATCCCAAGTAGTTGAGAGCTCTAGGGTTCCGTAGGGTTCTTTGGGTTTGTTAGGGTTCTTTAGGGTTTTCAGAGGTTCCTTAGGAAGCCTTAGGGACATAGGGTGCCGTGGACTACCAGTAAGGGAGTCCAGAACAAGCTTGTGGTTGGCTCAGGGAGCGAAGGAGCTGGGCTAAGGAGGAAGCCTTCAAAAGGTACCGAAATGGAGAACAAAAAGGATGTGGTAGGTAGGAGGCGTGGCAATATTTCACGCAACTTTGATTTATTTTGAGGGACACGTACCCGTGCTGCACCATGCTGCATGCTCCATGTTGATTACTTTTGTGTGTAACCCTCATTTTGAATTGCTTGAATGGTCTTAGGACACGCTGAATTGCGCAAAACGAAAACTTGCCCAAAGGGAATCGACCGAATCTTACAGTGTGGCTGTCCCTGTTTGGCACACGGTGTCCTAAGTGTCCAAAAGCTTATCGCCCTTTACTCCAGGTCCGTTGGGCACATCCTCAGGTCTACATGACACAGATGTAAATCTTGCACATGAAGCTGAAGATGTTATACAGGTAGCTAGAAAAATGGAGACATCATGAGTTGCTGTCTCGCTTGCAATTTGCATGGAGCACGATGGGGGGCTTACAATAAACACGACCCGTGCACGATACCCTGCAACGTACTAAAGCTGGAAAAAGACAGGGACGTACTAAACATGAATGACCCTAGACATGTTGTTAGAAAAGTGTGTTTGACAGGGTCACGCAGTTGTTAATTGGTATTTTGTATACATCCGCACACGCATACGACCACTTTCGCATATTTACCTCATACACAAAGATTTGTACATATATGCATACACATATTTGTGCTTGCATGTCATGCAGGCCAGATGCCAACGGACGCGGGCCTTTGGACACGGGAAGGCTTCCTAACTTCTTGGCGAGAACAACCCATGAAGGTGTCCTTTCTTTTAATCGACCCTTCGCTTTCCTCCTAGTCAGCCGATTTCCGGGACAAAAACAGGTGCTGAGGGTGCTGATATGTGCTGATGGTGCTGACATACTCCCCTTGCCACCCCACTGTGCTGGTTAGTGGTTGCAACAGGTAGGGGTGAACCCAATTAGCTGGTTGTTCGAGCTGTACCTTTGTCCATTCTCTTCAGGGATCCTTCTCCAATTGGCCAAGCTGCGTCTCTTCAAAGAACAAAGCAGTGAAGGTCTGAGGTTGACCTTTGGTTATTTTGCTAAGGACAATTTTATGCATTTTTCAGGGGGTTCCTCTGAATATGGTCCCCTTAAGATCAATCCAAGGCTGACCGATTTTCGGCCGACATTTCCTCCAGGCACTTCCGGGAAGTCGCCTACGCCATCAGCTACATCCACAGCTTCGACCCTCCGGTGGTGCACCGAGACCTGCCGCCCGGGCCCAGTTTTTGTGCCGCCCGTGTGGTGTGGTGCGCCGTTTTTTGTTTTTTTTTGAGGAGGACCCCCCAACTCTACGGCTAATTGTGTTGGAGCTTTAGACTTCAGCTTTTTGGATTCCCCTCATATTTCCTTTTGACCAGCAAAAACTAATTGTTTGCTGGGGGATCTACAGCACCCAAGCCAAAATGGCTTCGGCTTTCCTCTTGGTTTCCCTTTAAAACCAGAGAAGAGAAAGTGTACCCTCAAAAAGACAGACCAGTAGGTTTCCTCCTGGGCCGTTTCCGAGAAAACTTAGACTTGCCGTTGGGTTGCCGTCCTTTTGGATCGTTTCTTTCAATTGGGTTGCTTCTGATTGTCTTGGCTGTTCCCGACCGAAAGGGCGGCCTTCGACTCCGGAAGCGGATCGAAGCCAGGTTGATACGACTCGAAGTTGTCTTAGCATCAGTTCGTTAGCTTCCCCGGTGCTTCCCCCCTCTGCCAGCTTCCATGTCAAGAAGCCGGCTGCCAAATGGTAGCCTCCGCAAATGGAGGCTGGGGGGCTAGATGAAGATGGGTCAGAGCATGGGCCACGGACACCATTTGCAGTCTGTTGGATCTGAGCATGGGCGATTCTCACATCCAGATCCAGTCCCCAGACTCCTTGAGTCAATGGATGCTATGGATCCATAGGACTTCAAGGATTCCAGCCAGCAACTGATCAGTTTTCTCGCGGCCTCTTAGAGTCTGGACACCTGATTGCCAGGGGCCGAGGAGGGCGTTTGATGCCCCGAAAGTTGGACCACGAGAGGAGCATGGTGTCAACGTCGACTGAGGGAACGTACTGGACAACATATTTCAAAGTCCCATCCATTCCCGACAAGGGCGGGGGTCAAACAGACTGAAGGGTTCAATCTCAATCCCAGAGCAATGGCGGTTTCCCTTGCTGTAGTGGTGTCCCGCTACGGAGTATACAAACAGGAACAGGATCCTCCCTTTTCGAGCCCAGAATCTTGTTGAGAATTCTGGACTGCCCGCCTTTCCCTTGCAAAGTGACACCAACAGGCTGTTGTTCAAGCCATAGATGCGGGGTCCCTCAATGTTCACATCTAGGATCTCCAAATGTCGCGGCTTGAATGGGTAAGTTGCAAGCTTTGAAGGGGAGAGTCAGCGTCACCTGGTAGACCAGGGGTTCGAAGGGTTCCCTTTTTCAAGTTCAACCCTTTCGGGGACTTTCCTTCGGGTTCAAAGCGGAAATTCGTCGGGAGTCCTGTCGAAACTTGGCTGCTTGCATGTTTGGTTTCGTTTCCATTTGATTAAACACCTTTTTTTCCCCCTAAGTGCTGAAGGCCACGTGGCCTCTGCCCAAATAAGCTCTGTGGTTCGGGGGGCTCGGGCGCATGGGCGCATGGGCTTACTGTGATTCTGTTCATTGGGAGCTGGCCATCCGTTTCTTGGCAAAGAATAGCAAGGCGTGCAGCATCGTAATTCATCGGTGGCCTGGAGTTTCTGAGCGGGGAACCCTGTCAAGGACCAGGGGATCCAAACCGCTTTGGACTTGGGTTCAATCCAAGTCCTCCACAAGAACCTCTACAAGTGCTTCCTTTTTTAAAAAATAAGAATTGCCCTCTACAAGAACCAGACGGGGTTCAACTCCAAGTCCAACCCACCCATCCAAACCACCACTTTTTCGGGCGACTTGAGGTTGAAGAGGAACAAGTCGGGCTTCCGCTCAGGAAGCCGGACAACATCCTGCTGGCGGACTGCAGCGAGTTTTCCACTGCCCGGGTGATAGACTTTGGCTTGGCGTGTTTGAAGACCGAGGAGGACGCCTGTCGGGCGAAACGGGGCGCCTGTTTGCCACTGGCTGGCAAAGCGCAAGAAAGCCAACTATCAGCATGTCCAGTTCCGAAACTCGCGCTTCCACGTTTACTCTAATCCTTCCATTTGCTTAAGAATATTTTCCCTTGTTGGGCTTACCAGGAATTTATCACTACTGGACATACGTTTATTTTTTCCTGGAGTCTGAACCAAATGAAAGAATCCCAAGGTTGTTCTCAACTTTTTACCCTTCGGTTCGGCACGCTGTTTCCCTTTGGCGGGATCCTCTCAAACGATCAAGCCCGAACAGGTTTGGCCGTCCGTCTGGTTGCCGCAGGGCTCCTTTTTCAGTGGAGTCCATGGTCTTTTCAGGCTGAAGAATGCTTCCCCAGAATCAGCTCCCCTTCTTGCGCTTTTTGCTTTTTTGGGGATCCCTTTGTTTTCCACGAAGGCATTTTTTTGTTTTTTTGCCGGGGTCCTAATTCCAGCCTAGAATGGAAGGGGCTGATTTTCCCAAGCTCCTCGCCGGAGGAGAACATGGCGGTGGGCACCATGGTCTTCATGGCCCCCGAAACCTTCATCAACGCCAAGGCATTTGGCTCGTTTCGGGCGCATGCGCGCTTTGGGGGGAAGTGGGGTGAAGTGAGGTGGGGTGGGTGGGGTGTGGTGGGGTGGGTGTCCTTCATTTTCCCTATGGTCGCCCGGTTTAGGCCATTGAACGTCGATGGGTTCCTGTTTAGGTCCAAAAGGACACCTGGGTGCAGGCGCTGCTGGGTTGAATCTGAACAATGTGTTCCTCTTGGCCACCCTTCAATTGTCATCTATGTTGGCTTTGCCTCAAAACGGGGGAACCACAAAATGGGTGTTTTCCTCTTGGCTTCTCTTTAAGGTAAGGTCAAAAGACTAGAATCAAACCATATGGCCCATATATGGCTATGAGCTTCAATATGGACACGCTGGGACATGTGGAACTGTATCCCGACATCTGGTACTGGAAGGGTGTTTCTCAAATATGTGGACCCCTTTTGTATATATGTGGCTGTGGGTCAAAAACCAATGGTACCATTTTGGAGTAGGTGCACCACCCATTTTGCGGGATTTTGACCCATGGCCATATATATATATGTGTGTGTGTGTGTGTGTGCGTGTTTCGCGACAAGTCAGTTCAAATAGCCCTCCTGTCCATCCAATCCATCCATCCGTCCATCCAGTGTAGGGGCGACCCTCGAAAATGGTTGGCTGCCTTCTGCCGCCCTTGGAATACCAACCACAAGGGTCTCCCCCTGAGAAATCCTCTATGTGCCAGATCTCTCCGGTTGTTCTCCTAGGTGGACCTCAGTCAGCAGACGGACATTTGGGCGCTGGGGGTCATCCTCACCTGGATCACCACGGCCATCGTGCCGTTTGGGACGAAGCGGGTGTTTGTGTTTCTTGTTTGTTTGTTTGTTTGTTTGTTTGTTGGTTGGTTGGTTGGTTGGTTTGCTTGCTTGCTTGCTTGTTTGTTTGCTTGCTTGCTTGTTTGTTTGTTTCTTGGTTTGTTGGTTTGTTTGTTTTGTTTGAGCGTGTTTTTGCTTGTTTGTGTGCTTGCTTGCTTTGTTTTTTTTTGGAGGGGGTGTTACACACAAATACACAAACACACAAACAAACAATCCAACAACTAGATTTCCCAGCCTCCAAAGAGTGGACGGCTTCCGTCCCGGGGCTTTTTGCCGCATGTTTTCCGGGTGCTTTCGGGTAGGGGTGCTTTCCTTGATGGTCTTGGGGCATCCCTTTAGGTGATAGAATCATCGTGATGACCCACTTATTGCGAGGACTCTGACCAAAGAACTCGCCACCATGGCTAGGTGAACTCGGCAAGGGCTTGCGACCGCGAAGTGGGGGATCCAACATATGCTTTAATAGTGGGCTGGTTAGAGGCAATTCTTAATCCTTGCTGTTTGGCTAACCGGGTTCCCTTTGCAGTGTTTTTTTGCTTATAGAGATGGTGGATTGGGACTGGCCCACTCCATTTTGAAGAGCGCTGTCGTAAGTGTTCACTTTCTGGTTCTCAGCAGGGTCCCATGAAGGTGGGCTAGGTACCTCGGAGGAAGTGAGAAAGTGGTCATGAGGGCCACAGAAAGCCCTTCAGGGTTTGCCCGTTCTTGTGCAGACAGATCAGCCAACAGGCTGGGGGTTGGTTGCCCAGTTGCCCAGCGGTGCCCTTTTTTTCATTTTTTTTTTTTAGAAAGGGCTCCCCTTTAAAGTCAACCAACCAAAAGGGTGCCCTTTTTTCCCATGGCCACTGGGCATCTGAGGTTGTGTTGCAATGCCGCCCCAAACCTCCCCTTCCCCCACAAGGCCCCCACTTCCGGCCTCAGCTTGCGGCCATAGGTGTCCTTATTGGTTGATTTGGTTAAACAATAGAGGGCGTGGCTTACCTGGTGGTTCAATAGGGCCATCTATTTTCCCAACAAGGGCACCTATGCTTGCGGCAGTTGGGGTTGAGGGAGTTGAGGCTGGGGTCTCTGCAGCATCCATGCCTCGACGTGGAGGAGGGCGAAGAGTTCGGCGTGAAATGGATCTCCCTGTGGCCAGATTTGAGGGGTCCGGTCGGTTGACTACGAGTTTTGTTTTAAGGGTCAGGTCCAACTGGGTTTCGGTCACCGAAAAGAGGTTGTTTCCAGAATCATAGTAGCAAGTAACATGCAACCCTTTGCTCGCTTTATCCGGGTGGATCCTGGAAATGCATTTCTCACTCAACTCGAGACATGCTTCCCGTTTTCAAGCAAAAGGGTCAGTGGGCTTGTTTCAGCTTCTGTGATGCCACGCCCGTCGCTTCCCGCTAGGGCTGCCAAGGTTCAGTATATTCAACTCATGCTTGCCAGGGTGAGCACCTTCTTCTTTTTGTACTTCCTCTTGCACTTGCGCACACTTCTCGTTTGCTTGCCAAATGGGCGAGGCAGAGCGTGCTGCTATGATGCATGAGCGGGCTTTCTCGGTAGAATGCTGCCGCAAAACGCAGGATCTGGGGTCGTTTTGGGTGCCGGTTCTGGGGCGTCCGGTTTTGATTCTGCAATGATTTGCGATTCGATGTTCGGTTCCCGTTTGGATGCTAAACATCTACAATCCTGTGTAAATAAATATGCACATGTATACACACTATTATGTATCTTTGCGTGCTATGTAGCAGGTATCTATATCCCTTTGAGCCACAAGACTTGCGGGGGCATTGACTGAAGGGTATGTGAACTTTTCAATTTGTCCCGGGCATCCGAATTGCATCGGGCCAGTGATCACACTGATAGGAACAGCTATGCTCGTCATCTTGCCATTTTTTGGGGGGGCGGGGGCTCTAGGTGTTGCTTGGATTTCTTCCCGGCATAAGCCATTGCCAGAGCCATCTTAATTGATTACCAAAACAAAAACTGTCATTTTCTTTGGTGGTACGGCGCCTAAACCGTCATAACCATGTTGGACCCAAAAGTCAAAATCGTCTTTGGGCGCTGGCTTTGTGTCTGGTTTCTTCTTTCCTTCTTTTCCGAGTTTCCCAGTGCGTAAGCGGCTCCCTGCAGTCTCCATGACCCTTCAAAATTACCCAAAAATCAGGGGTCGTGGACCCATTTTTGAAGGGTCATGGAGACTGCAGCTCGATCCAAGGTACACGGCCTTCAAAGACAAGGCCCCCTGGAACAGGTCGCTGGTGGAGGGCCACCCTGAGGTGGCGCTGATCCTGGACAAGGCGCGCGGTTCGTTCTTTTGCGGAAGGCGCGGCTCGTTGGGTGCCGGGGTCAGGTTGGTTCATCTGGGCCCTGACCCCAACTGAAGCTGTGTCGGGCGGGGTTGTCCGACATTTTAAGTGATCCGACCTCCAGAGACAGATGTCACAGATAGAGATGTGACAGAGCCTGTGACAAACAGCTGTGACACAGCCAGTGGCAGTGTGACAGACAGCCGTGACAGAGCCTGTGACGGACAGCTGTGTCAGCCCAAATCCTGTGGCTCCCGGCCAGTGGCCGGGCCCACAGCCGCGACGTTGACAGCCTAAAGCCAGGGTCTCCAAGTCCCCCAGCAGTGCCCTTTTACCCTTTTTTTGGGGAGGGTTCCCCTACTAAAATGGACTGCAGAAAAAAAAGGAGGAGCTAGTCTGGATCCCCTGCGAAGCCTGAGGGTTACGCCACTGGGGAAGGGGCCTTCAGGTCGGAATTGACCAATGACCATGGGTAACTTATCCCATGAAAGGCGCTTTTGATGCCCCAATCATCCCACGCAAAGAACCTTTTTGATCAACCCGCGTTTGTATTTCCTTTTTGCGTTTGTGGGAAAGACCCAAACAATGGAATTTGGGGGGGGGGGGGCCTTTCTGCCCCCTCCCCTTAAGGGGCGGAGTAGGCGCGAACCATGTGAAATCACACGGGCAGACAGTTGCCAAATGGCCATGGTTCAAAGCCAATGGGATCCCATTTTGGGATAAGTGGATTCACCACCCATTACCTATTTTTGTGGGGATTGAATCGGATGCTCACTGGGGGGTACGATATGGGTTTTGACCCATGGCCAAATGGAGGCTTGCGACCACGGGCTAGGTGAGGTGGCCAGGTCCCCCCAGTAGTGCCCTTTTACCCTTTTTTGGTTGGGAGGGTTCCCCTACTAAAGTAGGCTCCAGAAAAAAGCGGGCCCTTAGTCTAACCTCTCTACTGGAGCACCTGGGTATTCATCTCGGTCCGTCAGGTTTTGCGTTATGAGCCGGAGGAGCGGTGCAAAGCCTCAGACATCCTGCAGGAGCGGAGCTGGGCCCTCTTGGTTGGTTTGGGTTTTAGGGCGTGGCTCAAAATTTTAGGACCTGGGGTACAAGTGTTTCAGCCTTTGGTTCCATTTACCAAGGCGCCATTTTGGCACCATTTTTTTTTTGAGCCACAACTATTTTAGGGTGGACCTGTGCAATACGAACATACTCAGACAATTTAATGTTCTTCTAGCTGCCCCGCATGTGAGCCTGGCCCTGGTTTTAGTTTGTCCCTGACCTCTCGGCAGAAGTGAAGTGGCCCGCTACCCATTTCCTGGTTGACATCTCTAGTTATGTGCTAACTGCACACATCGGTTGGGCATGGTATAGTGGTTCTTACACTCTCGCCGCACACGCAAACAAGCTCTTGCCCACAGCGAACCGCAAATCGACCTTTTCTCACCGCTTGGTTTGCCTCTTTTCGATTAGTCAAACTTCTGTAGGTGAACCACCTTTTGATTGGCCATCTTCAAAGTGGGCAGCACAAATCCCCGTAAGCGGTTCTGCCTGGTTTCATAGGGGTTATCGCAAAACGCAACTCAATCCAAAGCTTTTGGGGCAACCAAGTCGTTCTTTCCCCCCGAGCAAGTTCCCATGTCCCACTGCTTGCAATTGCCGCAGAGCTGCAACGCTATCTCGGGCTCTAGGGGGTGCTTGAACAAGACCTTTCTGGCGAGGCTGTTCGCAGCTGTCGCTCATCCTGGTTTTCGCCAACAGACCGTAGGAGGCCTGGATCTGTGTGACGGACCCGGCGGTGTCTGCCTGCGCGGAGCTTTTGGAGCGGGGCACTCTGCTCTACAACCTCCGCAGCTCGGACTCGTCTCGTCCGCGAGCGGAACTGCTCGAGCGGCGAGCTCGGAATTCCCGAACGAGGCGCTGGGTTTTCCAGCTAGGTGCCCATTTTTTACCGTATTCGCTTTGGGTTGCAAGTGAGTTGTTTTTTGTTTTTCGAGATGCCCCTTGGTTCCCCCAATGAAGCAAAGACTCGGATGGTTCCATTTTGCCTTCAAGCTAGCCAATCCAAGGGATGCCACACCAAAACTCGCTGGGCGAGCTTTTGAGGCTAAGTCGAAGGTTTCAAGAGGCAACTTCTCTTGCAGACACCTCTTTGGTTCCCACTAAGAATAAACCATTCGAATGGCATAACCACGGCCGTGTTGCTACCTTTATGGCCATACGGTTTAATGTTGACCCCAGATTCAGAACCCCATCCTACTTGGCCCCCTCTAAAAGTGGTTTGAACCCCTACTCAATTAAGCCACGTTAACATGACCCAGCGATTCCATGTCCTTGCACGCGCTTTACAAACCAAGAGGAACATGGTTGGTTGCCTACCTTTCGGGGCTTGGCTGGGATCCGCAGCCCGGCTGCCCACGTCTCACCCCAAATTCCTCGGAGTTTTGTCCTCCAGTAGAGAGGTTAGAATAAGGGCACCAACTTCTTCCGGTTTTGTCTATTTAAGTAGGGGAACCCTCCGTTTGCGTCCAAAAGATGAACCTTGTATTTCTGGCCCTTTGAGACAGGGTTACCTGCATGTCCATTTCTTTTTCAGAACGTGTTTCATTTTCTCCTTTTGGCTTTATACTGGAAATCATATACATATATATATATATTTTCCTCGGGGGCTTAAGCAAGAGGAGAGCAGGGTCCCCTTTACACATTGCCACAAAGGCTTCGCGGTTTGACTTTTGAACAAGTTTCCCAGCCCAGTGGCACCCGTTTTACCAACCTTCCCCGAAATTATCCTTCAAGCAAAGACGGATCGCTTCCCTGTTTGGCTTTTTGCCTTTTTGGCCGCCATCAGATTCTCTTTCAGCCAGCAATCAATCAGGTTGTGCTCTAGTGGTTTGGATTTGTGGTTTGGGGATTTGAACCGCTTTGTAGAGAGCAAATGGACAACCATCTCCAACCTCCAAACAACCCTAAGTCTGCTTGAGCCCTACCCCAAGCGCAAACTCACTTTGAAGGTGATGTCCCTAAGCACCACCCCTAACCAAGGGAGGCTCAACTTAAATTCGCAACACATGTGATGCTCAACTCCACCAGGCCATTCAATCCAACCACGATTTGGGTGTGGTTCTTCTTTTACAAAAAAGTGGAGCCCCCAAGAATGGCTTCAATTTTCTCATCGGTCTCCCCTTAAAACACCCTCCAAAACGGGTAGAGAAAGGTCTTTCTGGCACCCGGCACCTGGTATACCCAGAGCCCAGGTCCGGTGGAAATCAAGACGTGGACAGACAAAATCGGTTCGCACCCCACTTTGGAGCCATGGTTGAAACCGTTGTTTGTGGGTATTCATAGGGAATCATCATGCCAGGGTTTCCATTTCGGTGGTGCGAAATGGATTTCGTCCATCCACAGTACGGTGGATGGGCGCGCACCACTAAAGGAAACCGTGGGTGACAACCGTTGCGCTTTGTGGGTGTTTGCAGGGGAATGGACACATGACCCTGGGTTGCTGAACAGTGCGAAATGGATTTCGCAACCATCCACAGTTGTCAAACGTCTCGATGAGTTTGGGTTTTAGAGGGAAACCATTTCGCTCCTGGACGCATATGTCCATGTTTTTTTTCTTCTTTTTTTTTTTCAGGGGACGCATTCGCAAATGGAGGAACAGGGCAAAACCCGCGGGACCAACCCCCTTATTTATTTATGTATTTATTTATGTTTTATTTTTTTGGGGGGGGGTTCGTGAGGAGAGCCGAGGTTTGGAGGCGATTTCTTCTTCGGGCCGGGGGTCCCGGGGCCCGGCCTTGGGCGACTGGATACGGCTGAGGCACCTTTGGGGAGCTGAGCGACCTGGAGAAGAAGCTTGGAGCGCTTCATCCGCGGCCGGTTTTCGCGGAAGCGACGGAGCAAGCGCAATTTTTTGGCAGGGCGTGGAGGTTGAGCATGGTTTTTAGGTAGCCCTTAATCAATTGGTGGGAATCCATGCCGTAACCTTCAAACCACGAATCCATGGCCAAGTAGAGGGAAGTTTATTATTTGTGTAGCAAACATAGAGTTTGGCTTTTCTGGATACAATCCACTCAGAAGTGCGCCTTAGGGTACATTGGGAGGGATAGGACTCCTAGTGACAGCATCCCTCAAGCAATGCGGGCCCTCTGCATGCTGCCTCTGCAAGGGAAAGGACGTGTCTACGGATCAATCAACTTGGTAGGTTTTGAGTTTAGTCCCATTTACCCAGGTGCCATTTTGGTACATTGTTTGGAGCTACGACCTATTAGGGGGCAACAGGGGCTTGAATGATGGTTTGAATCGGTTCTCTAGCCATGGCAACCAATTGTTGGCACCCTTGCGTGGAAGACGCGGGGTTTAGGTTGCCACGCTCTTTTTGTTGATGCTCTTGGGGGCCCCCTTCAAAGTGATAGTCTGGTCATGGGAATGACCCATATTGGGGTCACAAGGGTGGTTTTCCACCATGGTGATCATTTTGCTTCACTGTCCTTAGCATTCGTTCCTATACTCATTGGTTCTGTTCATGTCTTATCCGGAGGGCAAACTCCTTGGCACAAGTCGAAGTGTTTGTCAAAAAGGACCTGGGACCCCAAATTGGTGAATCTCCCTTGGTTCCTTTTCACCACTCAAAAACTCGCTGGTCCTGGTGTTTGGGTATCTAAATTTGCTTTTATAGAGGGAGCTAAGGAGCTACCAGGAGTCATGGTCGTTGAAAGGGTCCACCAATTTGGAGAGGGGAGTTATCCTTTGCGTTTGACAGGGCTGCGACACGCTTCGGTTTGTTTTATCAGGGCTGGGGCAGGTATTTTCTCCAGGTCCTTTTCAGGTTTCTTGGTTTGGATTGGGGAGTGGACCGTTGAACCTCTCCCCTTCCTCTTGAAAACTAAACGGCAGAGCCCCAGAACAACTAATTAGGTCCCCGAGTAGTGCCCTTTCTCACCCTTCTTTTGGGGAGGGTTCCCCTGCTAAAATAGACAAAACCGAAAAAATAATCGGGTACCCTTAATCTAGTACCTCTACATAGGCTACAGAAAAAAAAGAGGTCACCCTTATTCTAACAGAAGGGGTCGTCATGGGGGCTGAGTTTTTTCAGATTCCTTGGGGCTGAGTTTTTCAGATTCCTGGGGGCTGAGTTTTTTCAGCAAAAAAAACAAAAATTCTAACCTCTGTACTGGAGGACCTCTGTACAACCCCCCGAAGTTTCCAAGGGCTCTCAGGAAGATCGTGTTCCTGGTGGCGGACCATGCCCCAGACAACCAGCTGGCGCTGCTGCGAAGGCGCTGCCCGCGAAGTGTCCCGCCTGTTGTGTGGTCGTTTCGGTGAACCATGAGTGCAATGGCCCGTTCGGCTCCTTTGTTTTCGGCGGTCATTTCTCAGAATCCGCCGTTTTTAATGCCCGAACCCCACAATTCCCGCAAAAAGTAGTTGTTGCTCACACTTATGGGGTGAATTCCCTTGTTGCTTAAGAGTATGTTTTAGTTTTCCCTGTTGAAAGAGGGGAATCCACATTCCTTTTGTGCAAGGGGTCTAAGCCAATGGAAGTTTACGGCTAGTTTGAGGTCCGGGAAACTTCAACCGGCCACCACGGCCTTCCGTGGATCCAGGTTGTCTTGCTGAAACAAATAGGTTTTGGCGATTCCTGGTTCACCTGGTGGTTGCAGATCACCTACCAGCAAAACCCATCTATTTTCCTTAAACAGGACACACCTAGGTTCCTATGTTCAGCTTGAATCCGGGCCACGCCTTACTCGGTGGTTTTTTCCCCCCGTGCGCATGCCCGAGCTGTGTGACCCACATGGCGCCCAATGGCGCCGACGGAGAGGACCTTCCGGGCCCTGGACCTGGGCAACGACGGGCAGCTGGACTTGGAGGAGCTCCGGGAAGGCTTCAGGCGGCGGCGGCGGGGTTTTGGCGGGTTTTGGGCGGCGGGGGCTGCGGGCTGCGAGCGTCGAGGTGGGTGGAAGGGAGCGAGGGAGGGGCCAACACCCCATCCTATGAATCGGAAGTACCCGACAAGCTCACATTGGAACCCAGAGACAGAGATATTTCGAGAGGGGAGTCTTCTGTTGGGACTGGGTTTCGGGCTCCCAATTTTGTTTGGGGGGGGCGCCTGGACCCTCAAACCCAGAGGTTGAGGGAGTTCACCCCAGAATTTTGGGGCAAGTGACCAGTTTGCAGAGGGAATTCCGTGGGTCCAGGTACGCTTCTTGGATTGTTTGAAAGGCTGTCTTGGGGGGGGGTCTGCACATTTTGATACAGGCCCGCCTTTCCGACCAGACGCTCCGGTCACGACCGGGAAAGAAGGATGGCGTTTGGGGCTAAGGCCCCGTTGCTTTGAGCAAAGAGTCGCAGACAGTTGGCCTTTTTTCTGGTGTCTCCTCCCAACAAATGTGTTGTTATAGGGTAGGCTATGGAACAGAGTCAGCATTTTCTATCCTGTGTCCAGATGTGGGCCATGTTTTGGGCCAGGGTGCATGTTACGTTTTGTAGCCATTGTTTAAAAAAAAATCTTTTGTGGATGGTTTTGCAGGGAAACCAAAAGGGTTCCCGATGTGGCGACAGACCCTGTTGAATTATGCAGTTTGTCTCAGGCAACCTGTAGTTGGTGGTTCGGATTGCTGGGGTTTGAACCCCGGAAAAACGGGACACCACCGCGGAAATCCTCCAAACCACTGATTCGGCTCCAAACCGCCAAGCAAAAAGAAGCCGAATTGTTTGTGCGAGCGTGCTGGCTGGATTTCATGGGCTATCACCGAATCGCTAAGTAAGGCCTCAGTGCTTATCCTTGGCTTTTTCTAGGCACCCTCCAAGCTCGGGAACTCAAACTGGGCGTGAGCTGGACGCTTTAGCGGTTGACTTTTGACGGGAGAGGGGAAGAACTGCAACGATCACACAAAAGGAATCCCACCCTGCGGGAAAGAACAACCATCAGTCGGTAATATTGACCCTAGATTAGTAAACCCCTGTTTATGAATACTCGGGTGTCCTTGGTTGTTGTGGGGATTCATAACTTTTGGAGGGGAACACCCCCATAGTAATAAACAGGGGGGTTATTAATCCAGGGTCAACGTTACATACTCTCTCTCTCTCTCTCTCTCTCTCTCTCTCTCTCTCTCTTCTGCTTACTTCCATTTGCCTAAGAATATGTTTTATTTTCCCGTGTTGCCAGTGGACTTAAGCAATAAGTTCAGTGGACTTAAGCAAATGGAATAACTTGGTTTCTCCTCTTGTTTAATCTAAAAAAGAAAAAGAATAAACACACACAAAAAAAGAAGAAAGAAACACCGACGGGGGTTTCGGAACCAAAGACACGTCGCCAGGAAGCACGACGTGGACATCTCGGCGCCTCAGCGCCACAGTTCGTTCGATGGGATGTCTGCCTGGAGGTCAGCTTAGCTCAAGGTTTCTCGGGGTGAAAAAACACCATTGGGGAGCGGGTCTCAACAGGGACCATTCTCTCCAGGCGGCTTACTTTTGGTTTAAAACCCAATTGGGGGGAGGTTTACTATGCTCTACTTTTAGTTTCAAAAACCAGCCAAAAAGTCGTGGTTGAGAAACATCCATTGCCCCAGTCTTTCAATGGTGCTTTTCAAGCCTCACTTTTCTGAGTTCTCTTTTGAACTTTACGCTTTTTGGGTTTAGGCCATTTTGGTCTTCTTTGGCCAGTTTCCCTTTGTGTTGTTTGTATTTCTGTCGTTGTTTTCAGTTATGCCAGGGACGCATGGCCTTCCTTGTGCCAGCCTGCTAGCGAGCCTAGCGATCGGGGGGTAAAATGAGCTGGATGAAGGGTGCTGAAGGTTCCTGTTGACCCCGTATGAGATCGCCCGTCCTATTGATACGGGCTGTGCTCCCCTAAAGTGGTTTGAACCCCCCTCCCCCCCCCGACGGAAAACATGAAAGGGACAATCTGCCATCATGTATTTGAAAAGGCTGTAGTTGTTCAATTGCATGATATGTCATGATAGGATGGGAGGGTAAGGGTTGGTGATATATGGTAGGCACCCCGCCAAAACCTACCAAAAAAAGCAAAAGCCATATATATGTATATATATATATATATATGTGTATCGTTCCCTGTCTGCAAGATAACAGGCAAGCTTATCTCAAAAGGTAGGTTAGCATATATATATATATATATTTCTGGTCCCGTCCCTCGCCCTCCTTCCCCCCCCCCCCCCGCCCCAAGATTATCCCCCCCCCTTCCCTGCCGCGAGGTCCGCCCCCCCGGCCCCATAGCCCCTGCCCCGAGAGCCGCGCCCGTCGAGCCGGGCCGCTGTGTCGCTTCGGCTCGCGCCGCACTTGGAGATTGATATGTGGGTGTGGCTCAAAATTAAGCGATCGGATCGGAGGGGCAAACCGCAGGTTTTGGTACCCATGTTTCCACTTGCCGATCGGCCAACCCATTTTAGAATTCCGGTTTTTTGAGCCACAGCCCCTTTCACTAGCACGCCAACCAAGACCAGACAACTGCAACCAAGCCCTAAAACCACTCCAGGCCGTTCCCCAAAGCGCATGCCAAATCAATCTTTTAGATTTCCCAAGCGAGATCTCCCAAGCCAACCCTAAGCCGACCGCAAACAAACCCTAAAACATTCCTAAACCAACCCTAAAACCACCCGTAGAAACCCAACCCTAAATTAATTCAAACCAGCCAACCCACCATGCCACAGGAGGGGAGGGGGGGCGTTGGGCGGCTGAACCGTCTATATCTCTTACGTCTTTGCCCTTGACGATGATGATGCCAGCCAATATTCAAATGCTAGGTTTTTTGGTTGAGCGACCAAGGTTGGATTCAAACCTTGTCCGCGCTCTCAGGAGGAGTTAGTTCGTGAGCTGTTCGATGAAGTTGACATCGACGACAACAACGTCATCAGCCCCTTGGCGCATGAACAAAACCCAGCAAAAGGGTCAGGTACCAAATCTGGCCTTTTCAAAGTCGTTGCATGTTGAGTCCTTTTTCAATGATTTGCATGGATGCTTTTTTCATGGAAGCAGATAAGCGGCCTTCTCAAGAGGCTGGAATCCAAAATTGCCCACTTCCTTGATTGAAGGGAGGGAAAATCTCAAAGCATCCAGCCCAAACCCGCGAAAGTCCCCAAGCAGGCCAAACAATTCATGGTGAAAGCGAATCGACCTGAAATGACCTTTGGTTTCCCCGTGGTCAAGGTTCCCAAAGGTTAACTTTTGTATTTCCGGGTCCCCAATGGGCAGTTCAGGAACCAGTTCAGCACCTCACTTCCCGCTGCAAGTTAGCATCTTGAGTGCCTTCTGCCACAGTGAAAGGCTCAGTTGTTCAGTGGCACCCTTTTTCCCTTTTGTTTGCACTAAACATGGTCTTCCCCAAAAAGGGGTTCCTTTTTTTTCCTCCAGGGTCACTGAACAACTGAGAAGGCGGACCGCATCCAATGTCGAAGGCCCAGAACCCACATCCAGGGATGCGCCCGAAAACGAATGCATCCCCAGGCACGAAACTCACTGGGAAACCCAGGTGTCCACGCCTGGAGTAAGGTTGTCCCGAGAGAAGAATCAAGCCCCAGTTGGTCAATATCGGGGTGTTCCCCTCCAAAAGGGATGAATCCCCACTAAAACCAGGGACAACCCCATTTTGCATGAACAGGGGTTTATTATGATATGGTATCAACATCAATGAATTGGAGAAATGCGTGGGGCCAAGATTTGAGCTGTTTTCTATTGGCCAGTCGGCTCAAGAAATCCAAGGTCCTGATGTTAGATGCTTACGGGTTATCAAACATCGGAACTGGAACAATCGCTTTTGCGGTACGTGTTGCATCCCAGCATGGGTGGCTCACGAGTTCAAGGGGCAAGGGTCCTTCTACGGTGGTATTTGGATGTTGCCACGCAGGAAACACGTCGTTGGTTACCCTTGGGTTTTTAGATGGTTAGAGTTTAGAGGGTTTAACTTGGCAAGGGAGGGACCGACGCATCATGTTTCAATTGGAATTTCATTTTCCATCAGTCAGAGAAGTCGAGATCGGGTTCTGCAATTGAAAGTCTTCGGACACCTGCCTGTCAGCCTCAATGATAAAGAGGGTACTCTTTGTCTTGTTTGTTGGACCCCCTTGCGCGGTTGTTTTCCCTATGGTGCCACACAAAAAAGGCCCGATTGGAGCCCGCCAAGTTACGCCAGTCCACTTATTTGGCCGTTGCCCAAAACCCAGCGGATGTCATCCATGCTTGGTGGTGTAAAGTAGACGTTTGCATTCCCTGAAGTACATCAACGTGTGCCAACATCACGTTTCGAGCGGGTGCACTGCCAGTCATCGGCGTGCGAAAGTGCGAAAGTGCGAAAGTGCGAAAGTGCGAAA